TCGAGCTGGCTGCTGCCCTGAGCCATATCTGTGTAACTGTAGGTTCTGCTGATCAGCATTAACCAACCACAGCTCTCAAGTGCTACCAGTTTTGCCAAATGAAACAGTCTGACAAATGGCCACAGAAAGGAACATTTCATGTTACCAATCTCTTGGTGGTAATTCAGATTCATGTCATATCCCATTACTCTTACTGAAGTATTTCAAAGTATTCATTTTCGTTTTTTGAGACAAGGTCTCTCTATGCAGTCCAGGCTGGCCTTGAATTTGCTTTGTGCCCTGGTTGGCATCCAACTCATGGCAATTCTCCTGACTCGGTCTCCTGAGTTCTGGGACTATAGGTGTGCACCACCACACCAGCTTAAAATTTTGTTTTTTGCTACTGGGTATTGAACTCTTGACCTTCTGCTTGTCAGGCAGGCACTATGCCACTGAGCTACATCCCCAGCTTCAAAGTATCAGAAATCCACTTTATATATAATAAAAAGTTTCTGAAGTGCTTCCCTAAATCAGCAGTAATTTACACTTTCTTCTTGTTACTGGGATTAATGCCTCTAATGTCTCTCTTTTTAATCCAAAAATGAAGCAGGTCTATATAAATACTGTCTACTCTACTGGATTCAATATACTTCAGAAGAAATCTTTTTAAGGAAGAAATCTTTCTTAGATTCTTAGACCGAGCACTGAGTATGCATTCAGTAAAGCAGATGGGTGTTTCTCTTCACTTTTCGTACAAAGAGAAGTCATTCTTTGGCGGTAGATGACTTGCTGTGCTGAGACTACTGGATGAGTGACAGAACTGTGATGATTATAGCTGAACAATTAGTTACAGTCACTGCTAGAAACTTCCTTCCCAAATGTGTCAACCTTGGCTGCACATTGTACCATCTGTGGTGCTTTAGAAGAAAGTGTGAAACCTGGACTCTGTTTAATTAGTCGGGGTACAGCCTGGCAGTGGAGTTTTTCAGAGCTTCCTAGATGACTTTAATAGGCAGCCACGCACAGAGAGCAAGCACTTCTTAGCAGCAGCTGTGCCCTGAAGGTTGCTCTGTCGTGGGACTGTGTGAATCGTACTGGAGGATAAGTTTTCCAAAGAAAGCTTAGGCAGACCAGCTTTCCTGCTAGCCAGACACGGCCTGTTTGTCTAAATAAAATTTTATTGAAACACAGCCATGCTCATTTGTTTACATGTGTTCTGTGTCGGCTTCAATCGAGACTTGAATAGTTGTAGCAGAAAGCGTATGACTAACACGGCCTTAAAATACTGCTTCCTGGCCCTTCCCCATTGAGTTATATTACCGTTTCCCAAGTTGCATTCAAGAAAATCCACTCACTTCACACAAATGTTGCCTAGAGTTTGCTTGAGCTTTTTCTTTTTATAAAATATCAAAATGAAATGGTTTCTAGTATTCTACTCAAAAGTCAGCAGGAATACAGTATACTTTCCTCCCTCAGTGCTGGGAATTGAACTCCAGTGTATCTCCAGTCCTTGTCTGTATTTTATTTTGAGACAGGGTCTGCCTAAGTTGCCCGGGTGGGACTCAGAGTTGCAGTCCTCCTGCCTCAGCCTCCCAAGTGACGGGATGATAGGTGCCACCCTGCCTGGTGGTGATAATGCGCTTCGATATGTTCAGTAACCACTTAGGCTCCTTTTGTTGAGGCACCTGTTTCTGAACAGAACTTCACATTTTTTGGCATACTATTTTTCCCTAAATTTTAAGTCCCGTAGAAATTGTAATAATCCACTTATTAAAGAGATGGAATGGGGAGGCCTGCACAGCATCCTGGGTAGGTAGAGAAGGCTGTGTCATCCCCAGATGCAGTCAGCCAGCCAGCAAGTCCTCTGCCTGGATGCCAGCAGCTGGGAACAGCATGCGGCCTTTTCTGCTGCTTTTCTGTCCATCCAAACAGGCTGTGAGCCCACAGCCTTTCCCTTCCCTGGTTGGAGCCACAGCCTAAGCTCGAGCCATTTATGGGAAATGGCTGCACCTTGAGACAGTGTGTAGAGTGAAAGAAATCAGACCCACAAGCTTCAGTATGGCATGGTTCCTCGTAACAGAGCAAAATGATGAAGAAAGAGCAAAATAAAAGCCAGTAGGAGGTGGGGAGATAGATCTTTCTCGAATGGGCAGGGGATCAGGGAATGGAAGTAGGAGAAAAGGAGTGAAGAAAGGACTAAAATGTGTGCTGTCCACATGCCAGCTGCTTACCAGGAATGTGGACATTATGTCCTGCTCTCCTCTAATAAAAAATAAAAATTGAGGCTGGACACTGTGGTGCATGTCTGTAATCCCAGCACTCTGGAGGCTGAGGCAGGAGGATCCTGCAAGTTCAAGGTCAGCCTGAACTGCAGTGAGACCCTGTCTCAAAAAGACAAAAGGTAATAAATAATATTGAGAAAACAAAGAATGTTCAGTAACCACTGTGAGAGCAGTGAGTGGGTGGCGCGGTCACAGCACGCTCTGCAGTGTCCCCGAGGGCTTTGCTGTCCCCTGTGCCTCTTGCCTCCTGGGGACCGCATTGGGCTGCGCCTTCCTTCCTGCCCCTTGGCACAGCCCAGTCTTCCTGAGTCAGCTGGGCCTAACCGTGCTCCGCTGCTGCGGGCACTTCTCTGCCTGCCACTTGCCCAGTGCCCTGTCCACATCCCAGTGCTCGTTAGCATTTTCAGAGATTTTAACACAAATTTTATGCTGACAAAAGAAACAGGGTAGGTTTCATCTGAAATGCAGTATGGGAGCTCTCGGGTCCTAATTGAATCCTCACTTCAGTAAGAAAGTGTAATCCTCTGATCAGGGAAGGGAATGGAACAATCTTGCCAAGGTAACCAGTGAGCACTTAGTGAAATCACAGTGGTGCCCTGCATTTTCGTAGCCATTTCTTTGAGAGCAGCAGGGCCCTATGAAAGCTTTGCCTGGCATTTAACAGCAGATGCTTCTTGTTTGCCAGCAGTCTCTAGAGATGTTGGCTGTTACCTAGCTTCTCCCGCTGCCCTGGAGAGGAGAGCGAGCTTCATTACTTGCTCAAGTGAACTTAAGCAAAAAAGCTGAGCAACTCAGGGATGCGAGCTCAGTTCATGGCTTCCCGCACAGCTCCCACCCACTGCTCACCTGCAGCGTCTGCGACCATGGTTAGCAGGAATCATGTCCTGCTGCATCTCCTTCTTCTCCATAGCCTACAAAAGAGCACAGGTGGTTGCTCTGGATGCTAGAAAGATGCAGATCCTCTAAGTCCCCGTTCAGCTGTGCTGTCCTAAAATTATCCTCTTTGTTTAGCCATGCTTTTAAGTTTTGTTATGAAAGCCTTCCTTTCCTATGAGTGCAATGGATAAGTCACTCCTGTTAACTCTGTATAAGATTTTTAAACACTTGAGGTTTAGAGGATTTGTGTCTTTCTAGCATCCACAGAAGCCACCTGTGTGACCATGGTTAGCGGGTGTGATGTCCTGCTGGGTCTCCTGGCTCTGGGCATGCGATTGAGACCTGAGGATGACATGGGTGCTGTCCACTGTCATTCCCTAGCCTTGACCATCTGTCCCTCCACCATGTGTGTGTTCTGGAGTCAGTGATGGGTAGGCAGCTTTTTGCTCACCTTTTGAGATTGGTTTTCTAGAAAAATTACATTCTTATGCTTATTCCATTAAGAATGTGATAGTAGGGCTGAGGATTTAGCTCAGCGGCATATGCCCCTGCCTGGCAAGCGCAGGGTCATGAGTTCAATCCCCAGTACCGCAAAAAAAAAAAAAAAAGAATGTAGTAGTAACTGAATCAGATCTTTATTCCTCTGACAATTTCCAATCCAGATGCAATTGGATTAGAAGAGGAATCACTTCACAATGAAATGTTCGGTAGAAATTCTCCTCTAGATATTTTATATTCATTATCTCAAAAACATATACAGTCCCTCATTTCAAGGTTCTGAGCCAGGTATTTTAAGGACAGGCACTAATAATGAGTTAGTGTTAGGTGGCAGTAACTGCCCAAATGACTTTACAGGTAGGAAGTCACTGTTCTCTAGCAGATCTCTCGTTGGGTGCTGCCACTATTTCTCCTTTTAACATTTGGAAAGTTTAAGTGACTTTGAAAAAAAGCAATTGAATTATGTGAGGATGGAATGTATGAGGGGGAAAAGGTGGGGGGAGACACTGTCCTCGGGTGAGTGGGGAGACAGACAGTGGTCTGAATTCTGTGGCACAGATTTTGGGGTTATTCTCCTGAGAACGAAGACTCACTGGGCGTTTGGGGTACAAAATCCTGGGTACAAAATCGTAACTACTCATAGGGAAAGTTTCACTGGGTGTAATGTGTGGGGTGAGCAAGGCTCATGGGACCTATAGGGCCTTAAACAAGCGACCAAGGGAAGCCCCAGGAGGGTCTGACCCAGGACGGACAGAAGTGGAATAGAGGCTGGTCAGTCTGTCTTTCTCTGACTTTCTCTCTGTCTCTGCCTCTTTCTAGGTTTTCCATGAGTTTCCTCTCTGGGCCTCGGTTTTAAGCATTCTAGCTTTTAAACATTCTCGTTTAAGAGTGCTACCGAATTTGGAGTTGCCAAGTTTCAGTGCCCAAAAACAGGAACAAAAATAGTAAATGCTGACAATATTGGGCTGCTCAATTATCTTTCAATGGTAGGCAATAAAAGGAGTAAACGCCTAGGCACCAGGTGTTTAGCCTGGAACTGTTAGACTTCTGTGTCGTTCTGAGCCTTATTTTGCCACTCGTAAGCACTTTGTTCAGCTGTGATGCCAGAAAGCCTCCTTTCCTCTGTTTCATTGAAGTCAGAAGTGACACAGTACCCTGTCTGAATCAGAACTGAAAATTCACCTAAGGAACAAAACACATTAATGGAATGTATTATGTATAGAGAACGAGGTGAGATGAAAGGGAGTACTTTCTGTTTCTGCTTCATTATGTTTTTGCATTCTATAAACATTTTCTACTTAAGGATTAGTGAACTAGTGATTTGTAAAAATATCCTGATAGATAACGGTCCTTCTTCTCTTTCAGCAGATTTCTGCTCATGGTAGAACGTCTTCCAATGTGAATGGTGGACCTGACCTTGACCGCTGCATGAGTCCTGAAGGTAGCGCTCAGTGTTTCACCAAGAAAATGTCAGCTACAAGATCCTAAACAGGGATAGGATCAGCCCTTGGTAGTGGGCATCACTTCCAGTTATACAGAATCTCATTGTCATTCATCTCTAGGCTGTCACAGTTTCAAACTTTGGACTTGGGCTCCTTGACTTTTCTTAGTGATGACTCTGCTTACAGTTCCTAAATGTATTTCCTTTCTCTCCAATCACAAAAAATTCTATGTCTCGGGCATGGGCACACACCATGACAAATGAGCTGATCTTTTTGAATGTTTCTGTTAGTACATGTTTGCAGTATCTAATGACTCTATTCATCCTAACCTACACCCCATGTACCTTTTTGATAGAGGTCTGAGCCAGAAATTAACCTTGACAGCACCTCTTACTTGGATAAACACCACCAAGCCTTACACTGAGGATCAACCCAGGGCGGCTCTACTGCTGAACTACATCTCCGGACATTCAGTTTATTTATATATTTGGAGACACAGGCTCACTAACTTATCTGGGCTGGTCTTGAACTCGTGGTCCTCTTGCCGCAGCCTCCCTAGGAGCTGGGATTGCAGGTGTGCATCACTGTGCCCAGCTTTAGAATTGGTACAACGCTTGCCGGCAGTGTGAGCTCCTGGGTTCAATTCCTAAAACTTCACCTGGAAATAAAACAAAACATAAAACCCAATAGAGTTTTTTTCACTAGAAAACCTTTGAGAAATCTTAACATTTGTAAGGTTAAATCCTCATCACCACCACTTTCTCCTTTTTGGAGCATTGACAAAGAGTTTGGAAAAGTTTAATTAGACCTCCTTTTTACCCAAGGCTAATCATTTACACTAGCTGATATTTTAGGGATTTCTTAGGATTACTGATTTTGTTAGTTTCTCTTTCTAGCCAACAAAGTCAAAAGGAAATTAATGACTCAAGCATTCATAAAAGACTTTGTTTTGGCGAGAGGCTTTTTTGTTTTTTACTTTTTTGGTACCAGGAATCAAATTCAGGGCCTCCTGCTTGCCAGGCTGGCACTGCACCACTGAGCTATATCTCTGGATGTTGAGAGATTTTCTTTAGTTTTACCATAGACTTAAATGCATTGCATTTTGTTACTTTACAGCTACATGGGAACCAACATAAAATGCTGATATTTCCATTAGACTTTGCGTTTACTCTTTTTACAGGTTTGAATGGGAACAGGTGCTCTGAATCATCAACTCTTCTTGAGAAATACAGGATTGGGAAGGTCATTGGTGATGGCAATTTTGCAGTAGTCAAAGAGTGTATGGATAGGTAAGTGAGCAGGGAGGACAATTATTTGTTCACCTACACAAAATTTTTTCCTTGGAATTTTTTTTGTACTGGGAATGGAACTCAGGACCTTGTACTTGCTCTTAACTGAAAGAATCAAAGGCCTTTCTGGGAAGTGTCTCTTTCCCCCTGCTGAAAGGCTGTACTCTTGAGTCTAGCCATTTGGCACACCCACAGGCAGTGTGACTGGAAAAAATGCACAGATACACGTAGACTATACCACTGTTATATAGGTGAGCATTTGAAGTCAGAGGTCAGGTCTCACCTTGGGGTGAAGAGGAATGGAGAATAGTTAAGAGTCATTTAATTTCATAAAAAGTCAGTAACACCGTGCCAGACAGGCTTCTCAGTCTGTCCTGCTGTTAACTGATTTGATTCCACCTCATCCTCTCCATTAACACTTAACTATGAGAGCTCCGGATCCGGTGACTATTGAAGGTCAGAATCAGCTAACTTTTATCTGCTCTCAACCCTTTGTAAATATAATATTAAAGCCAAAAAAGATTCAGATTTAAAGTCTTTAGGTTTATAGACCACGACCTACCTGGTTTTACATGACTAACACTGTTTGGGAGAAATTTTCCAGAAAGTTCTAGAAACCACAGGTTTTTTTCCCCATTTTGGTTCATCTCTCAGAGAAGTTGTAGTATTTCTTTTAGTACATGACAGCAAGCTTGCTGTTCTCTAAACGTTACCTGGCTTTATCTATAGAGAGCTATAGTAATGCGGTAAGCCTCTAAAATACAACTTCCAAGGACTTGTTAGAAATATGAGTCAGGGTTGGGGTCAGCACTTAGGAGGAGCAATTCCAGTAAAAGTTTTCCCTCCACTCTCAGCCTCTTCAGTGTGTACTCTGGCTGCCTGGTGAAAGCAGCTCAACTCGAGAACTAACACAGTCCAAGAATGCCGCTGTGGTCTTTTATCAAATTTTTCACTTTTTGATCTTTTATGGCATAGTCAGCCTATGTTGAAAGTGATTAAAAATTAAGTAATGATATCAAGATTGCAGCGTCCAGACTCTCTCTCATGCTAGAGGTGGCCATCTAAAGGTGTATATAACAGGACACCGGATCCCAGCTGATGTTTACTGACTGCAGAGGAGATAACAAAAGTCTGAGGACTTTGTAGACTAGAGTTATAAAATGATGTGACAGATGTGTTAAAGATGCAGTGATAATAAAATGTTTTTCACTTAAATTGACCTGTTTTTCTTGATTTTGTCCTATGTCTTAATTCAAAATTTAAGTACAGACAAACTATGTAGGTCTAGACAACAGAATGTAAATATAAGTTATGATAATTTAACTACTATTGTTTGTAAAAGAAGATTAAGTTAGCATGCAGGCTGGCTTTCAGGTTTTGTATGGCTTCTTTTTTTTTTTTTTTTTTTGTCTTTTTCCTTTTTATCGGTACTGGGGATCAAACTCACGACCACCTGCTTGCAAGGCAGGGCCTTATGCCACTGAGCTAAATCTCCAGCTTCTAATTTGCGGATATCTTCCTCTCCCTGCCCCTCCCACACTGTCATCTTTCTTCCAGTCTGTGAGGTGGGGAACACCAGCAAGGCTGGCCCTCTTATATTTCTGTCTTCAAATGGTCTTCCTCTGATTATTCCTAGGTCCACTGGAAAGGAATTTGCTCTAAAGATTATAGACAAAGCCAAATGTTGTGGAAAGGTATGGTATGCACGACTGTTTTATAAATGAAACAGATGGCGTGGTGAAGTGTTGTCTGTGGGGAGGGAATTTGGGCGGACTTGGGGACCATAGTTACAGGATCGCATCGCTTTCAGAAACTTTAATCCTAAGCCAGTAAATGGATTAGACTTGGTCATAACTGTAGAAAAGGTAAGTTCTCCTCTCTGGGAGATGCCTAGTTCAAAATCCAGTGACTCTCAAAAGGTGTGACAAGAACTGTGAGGAGCCTGAGAGTCCCCCTACCTTCACACTAGACAGCCTTCCAGCTTCATATAGGTTGGCAGAAAACACAAGATTCCTGGGTTAGAGACAGAAGACTTCAGTATTTCCTGGCACGGCTGGTCGCATGAACTCTTGTGTGTGCTCTGAGCTCCCGGTCCCAGGGAAGTAAGGCTGAGGTCTGCAGTCAGATGCGTATACACGGTGGGTTTGCTCAGAGCAGAGGAACCCCAAGCTTAGAAAACCCCACCTTATTTACAAAGGTGCTACTGGGAAATTGCTCCCATATTTTACCCAGAGAATATTGTTTTTATTCCCCTATCTTGGAAACATCTGCCCCTAGGAGAGGGCCTATCTTGTGTATCCAGATGAAGTTTGCTGGAGTGTCACCATTCTGTGTTTGGAAAAAGAAAACTTTTTGCTAGCAGTGGTGACAAAGACCTTTACCCATTGCTTCTGGTAGCATGTCAGTGAGGAGCAGGCTGGAGAATGACAGTGATCATCCCTGGAGCTACAGGCCACAACTGAGCATATGAAATTAGGTGAGCCTGAATTTAAATAGAAAGTGTCATCAAAACACTGCATATGGTAAACATTTAACGAATGTGTTATAGTAAAAGACAGATTACTGTTCCCTCAAAATATTCTCCCTCACTTCAGACACACTTCGCCAGTGATTCCGGCCACTTTCTGAAGCAGTTCTGCAGTCCTCTTTAATGAGGGTCTGTGTGAGGAATATCAAAAATATAGTGAATGGTGCCACCGAGACTTTCCAGAGCAAGACAGAGGCTCGTAAAAACATTTTAGTGTGGCCTCATCACCAGGCACTGAGTCTGACTCTTCCCCAAAGTTAAAATGACCCTGAAAGGAAGGTGTTTAGAACTGACTCAGAACATGGAGGCTAACACAGCTAAAGACACTTCCAGAACTGCTTCAGAAGGTAAACAGTTATCCTTCAGAAGGTAAGCAGCACTTATCCTGTCCTATCAGTCCTCTTTAGGATAAGTGTGTTTAAAGCAACAGGGGGTATTTTGAGAGGAATTAATGACAGCGTGTCTCCTGCTGTAATGTTTTTTAAATTTAAATATTCATATCTATTTGATCACACCTGTGAGTATAAAATTTTGAAGACTTAGTGCTAAAAAAATGTAAAACATATCATTAATGTCTTATTGAATTGGATGAAAATTGAATCAGATTTCACCTTAAAGTCAACATTGAATTTAACCATTGAATTTGATGCCTGTTCTCATCCAATTTAGTTTGTGACCAAAATCTTGGAAAGAACTAAGTTTATGAACCAGTGTATCCTGCTGTGTTTTATTGTATGATAATATTTTAGATATATGGGATAAGTAAATTATAATTTTATAAGTCATTCTGTCTGCTTCTTTTCCCATTTTAATAGGGCTCCTAGTAAATTCAGAATTACAGATAAGGATCACAGCACACTCCCCTTGGCTAGTGCAACTCTAGAGGCAGGATATATGGTTTAATCCTGACTCTGTTTCATATTGCTGTGTGACCTTGGAAAAATTATTTAACCTGTGTTCCTTGTTACTTTCTCTAAAATTTATTACTGAGACATATGATGTAAGGTTATTGTGATCGATTGAATGAAGGCAGAGAAAACATAGAAAAGTTCCAGGATATAATAAGACTTTACACATGTCAACTATTAACATTAATATTCCAGAGGAATTTAGAATTTATATTTAGCAGGACTCAAAGGGATAGCTGTGCTTTTGTATTTATAGAACTCATAAACTAGTCTTTAGTGAAAGTCTACAAATTGTGCATTTTTAACAGAAAAAAATACTATGGTGAAGTTTTAGGAAATTGTTCCCAGAGCCCCTGGAATAAAAAAATCCAGGAAACTAAGATATGTCATATACTGGGGTTTTTTTCCCCCTTACCCTGATGATCAGCAAAGCAGAGAGTGTAAAATTACCCTTTTCTCTGTTTTCTTGAAATTTGTGTGCTTTGACTTATTCTAACAATATTAATTTCTTCCCACTGTAACAGCCTTTTGCCCCTATGTAACTGGGGCTCTTTCTATCCATTGTGTGATTTAAGTGGAATGTTCCAGGTTCTGTACAATTATATTATGTTTTTTTCAGAAGAGTAAAATAATTGCTATGGTAAGATTATTGTTGTCCTGATTAAAACTTAAACAGCTGTTTTCATAATTGAAAAAAGTGATCTTTAGTCTGAGACAAATGGATAGGGTACTTCAGACTTTTGGGTCTGGTTTTTTCCTTGCTGTGGAATGTCATTTTACTTGTACAGTTTGTGATCACTTATTCCCATCTCACACTTTCCCACAGAACATTATTTTTATTCCCCTATTTCTACACTTTGCTTATTTGGACAACAAATAGCATCATATAAAATTATAGTTGGAAAACTTGGCATCATTATAGGTTGACTTTTTTCCCCTATGTAATTAGATTTGTAGATAAAAACAGTGTGGGAAATTTGTTTTTAAAAAATTTAGGGTAGCATGAAGCGGCTGGTCTGGGGTATCGCTGGTCACCTCTGCTGTGTGGGTGGTGTATAGAAAATTAACACACCTGAAAATACCTGCCATTAAAATGCATTGTCTAACTTTTGTTGTTGTTTGGGTACTGGGGATTGAACTCATGACCTTGTGCTTGGCAGCCGGGTCCATGTTCCACTGAGCTAAATCCTGGCCTGTATTGTCCTAACTTGTATGTTTAGTAATTCTGTGCTTTTAATGATTTCCATTTTCCACCTGGGAGGCGGGGACTCAGGTCAAGTAGCTCGCCAGCCTCACGCATAGGAGCGATGGGGTTGGGGTCCTCTACCAGTGCGTGAGTGTGCTGTGTGTGAACCATGTGCCACACACCTTCTGCTCATTTGCATATGTCCCATGAATCTGGGAAAGTCCTTTCTGTCTCTTGCTTTCTGTTTGCTTTTCTGTCATGCACATGTCCATTACCAGATTACCTTTTTCAGTCACCTAAGATTTGGTGTGTGTCTTCTGTATGAAAGACGCTGTGCTAGGAGCTCCATACTTGAATATAACAGTTCAACAGTGCTACGGGCATCCAGGGCGTCCAGAGCAAACATGAGAAAGAAGGTGACCAGTAAAGACTCTGGAACAAGATGTGCTTGAGTTGGGCCTAGAACTGTGGTCAGATTTCAGTGGGCAGCCATGGAGGAAAAGCCCACCAGGTGGCCAAAGCCACTGAGTAACAGGGCCAGAGGTGCAAAGTGTGCTGAGTCTTCCCAAGCAGGAGGTGACAGCAAGGTCTGCCTCAGGGCCAGCTGTGCAAGGCTACTGGACGAGGCTGGGGTGTCAGTGAGGTCACGAATTCTCCCACCCCTAATAATGCCTTTCTTTTCTTTTTTTTATTTAAAGAGAAAAAAGGACATTAAAAAAAAGCAGTAAAGGGGTACAAGTAATACAGAATATCAAGAAAAAAAATATACAGTAAGAAATCACTAATTAATAGGTTACATATTGTCTTCTTAGAAACAGTTGTCCAAATTATAAAATTAAAGCATATAAAGAGGGCATTCATACAGTGATATTGGAGACGGTTCCATTCAATGATCCAGCAAAAGTTCAGTAATATGGTTTTCCATCCTACACACTCAAACATACCTGCAGTTATATCCCTTAGTCCACCTTCCTTTCCTCTCTTTTTTACAATAACAATTACACTTTTGGGGTTTTATTACTCCCACAGTTCTTTTACTTTTTTTGAAGAGAATAAAACCAAACGTGACTAAGCAAAACAGAGTCAGAACAGAAGGATGGGCATAGTACATGATGCAAAAATAGAATACCAGGTGATCAAAAGTGGTTACCATTGTGCCTCTTGCTGTTTTTAAATTGTGAGTTGCCTATAACATCAGGAATAATAGAATTGATCAAAAGAGTACAGAACAAGACCAATAAAACCTACACTGGAGACCTTTCAGGACTTCAAAAAAAGATAATAGTCAAACCATAATGGGCATCATAGTATATCTTATTGCCTTCAAAGTGGTTGCCTATACCCTCAAACTTGATACTGTCAAACAAAACAGAATATAGTAAAATCAGACAGAACAAGATGGGGAGAGCAACACTGGGGTTCAAGTCAGGTTAATAGGAAAACAAAAAAGTTACTATAATATATCCCGCTATTTTTAAATTTAGTTTTCCCTTAATTAAAAAAATGAGAAAAAATAATTTAAAGAAGGGGGAGATTGAGATAAAAGAGGACATTGTAACAGAACAACGCAGGTCAGAACCGAACAATTTAAGCATCATTGTGTTTCTAAATACCCTGTAATTCTTTCATTCTCTTGAATGGCTTCACACTGTCTTGATATGCTTGATGCTATAGCAAAGGAAGTTATACTCAAATAATTCAAGGAAAGAGGCACTATGGTGACTACTATTATGTTAGATTATGGTGGTGATGAAACACAATAATGCCTTTCACACTTACTCAGAGTTTGATTTCCTGAAGCCCAGAGAGCGTGGGCATCCTGTTACCCTGCCTAGGTTTGGTCCATCCTTCTCTCCTTGTCCAGGTTTGCATCTGTCATATGCGTGACTTGGGCCCAGACAGGACATAAACCCAAAAGTATATTGTGTGTATTAGTTGAGGCCATTGGAATAAATCACCATAAATACCAGTGGTTTGAAAAATGGAAAATCGTTCTCTCTGTGTTTCAGGGACTTTGCAAAGAAGCCACTGCTTGCCTCCGAGCTTGGGCCCCTGGCCACACCTTCCCTTCCCGTCTCTGCCTTCCCCTCCATACAGCCTGCTCTTTTGTTTTTATTGCTCCTTGTCATCTCCGTGAAATCTCCTACTTGTTTCTTAGAAGACATGGGCCATGGCTTTTGGGGCCCACCGATAATCTGGGACTCTCTCCACATTGCAGGTGCTTTAGTCACCTCTGCAGAAATTCTTTTTCCAAACAAAGACGTATTTACAAATTCCAGGGGTTAGGACTTGAGGCCTTTAGGTGAACATTGTTCAAGCCACTACATATGTCTGTCCCAGCAGTCACCTCTCATGACTGGAATGCTTTCTCTCTCCTGCTGCTTATTATCGTCAGCAGCATTCACTGAGGCAGGATGGCCAATGGCTGCAAAGCCCATATCAGGGGAGAGCAGTGCCCAGCATGGGCATCTGTCCACAGCCGTACCTCAGCCTACTGCTAGAAACTCGCTAGCTGCTAGAGAGTGAGATCAGCCAAACCCTAAAGTGCTCAGTCCCAGAGCAGGTGAGAGATCAGCACACAGGACAAGAACAGAGGGGAGGACAGAGGTGACTGACATGGGCTCAGGACACTCTTGACCCAGCCCCGAGCAGAGCAGGGGTGCTGCTGGGCAGATGCTCTTGGAACTCCAGGTGAGAGGCTGGCAGGAAGAGGAGAGGGCGGTGGGTGGATAACCCTGAGGCCGCAGCACAGGTGGCAGCAGGGGTCCCCTGGAGGATGAAGGAGTGAGGAATCAGGGCAGACCTCTCCTCTCTGCTTTGGGGAGCTCACTCATCCAGGGAGACTGAGAACACAGGAGAGGATTGCATAGCGAGTCTGGGAAGGGTGGTAGCGAAGTTGGTGAGTCTGGTTTGGGAGAGTGGTTATTCCTCTGACCTGTCTCCCTGTCTCAGTTTGTATGAGGTCTCTGTGGCTCGAGATGCTACCAGGTCCTCCACCAAGCTGTTTTCTTTGTCATTTGCTCTCGTGCACCCCTGGAGCCCAGCCAGGAAATGATGCATATGTAAATTATTTGAAGTTGGAATTCCGAAATCACTTAAATAATGGTAAATGATCAGATAATGTAAATTTGATATGGTCTGAGACAGAAATCAATATTCTTATCATATTTAGAAATACTCTCCTGGAAAATATAACCTAAAGGCTTCTTACGTTTTTGAAACAAAGACTACATAGGCCATAGGAAGAAGATGAGATGTTCAGGAAGGTTTTTAGGCAAGGATTTTGTTTCACTGCTGCTGCTGGTCGATTTCATAGATGGCTTCACAGGGACAGAAGAAGGAAGCTGAGAAGCAAAGCTACCAGCTCCCACACCCCACAGAAGCATCCCTCTGTGTCTAGGGTACTAGCATCAGTCGGGTAGAATACGGAAGAGGACATAATAAATAATGAAGAAAATACTGCTGTGACACTCAGTATTAAAGTGTACTGCTGTTGATGGCACAATATTGATATAGGGGAGCGAGACTCCCAACCTACTGGATGTCCACTAAAACCACAGAATGAATTTTAGGAGCAACAGAGGTTAAAAGCAAAAGGAAAAGGAAAGAGAAGGAAAGCTTCTGTCTGAGAGAGAGAGAGAGAGAGAGACAGAGGGGTCCCAAGTGGGTTGCCAAAGACTCTTTTTCTAGGGACTTTTATAGAGCCAAAACCATGAGGTGAGACGGGTCCAAGATGGGGAAAACATGGGACCTCGCAAGGGAGAGGGGCATGAGGTGGGACAGAACTATGGTCAACCAGTAAGATTAATTGCTCAGGTAAAACTGATTGAGTCAGCAACAAACGGGAAAGTGAGTCACATAGCAAGTGGGCACGCTTAGAGAGCAGTGACTCTTCGTCATGGGGGTTGGGATGGTGACTGCTGGCTTCCTCAGGGTGATAGAGACCTATTTAGAATGTCAGTCCTTAGGATGTAGGTGTATTTGTTTGATCTTTTGTCTTGAGGTCTGCCTACAGCAGAGGTGTCTGTCTCCTCCAAGGTTGCAAGGTAGCTGGTCTTCTATACTGGCTCCTTCGAGGGCCTAGCCCTGTCTGCCTGGCCTATAACAGTGTGTCCCCAAAGGTTTTCTGTATACCTTCTATTAAATACCTTTTAATTCCCCTATGTGGTTGACATCCTATTTTAACTCCAGTTTGAGTGTTTTCTGGGGTATTGGTGATGGTGTTATGTTATATATAAATTAACATCACAGAGCCCCTGAAAAACAAATTTATAGATTCTTCTAACTTTTGGGAAAATGGAGAGAAGAATCAAAGGGATGGATCCATTTAGCTTTAAACTAAAAAGCCTATTTTAGTACAGTGGTAGTAAGTACTGTTGTCTCTGCTTCGAACAGTGTAAAATCAATTTGAGTTTTACATACTGACCAGAGGCCCAGCTCTGCTGTTGCAGGGTGGTGAAGAACATACCTGGCCCAGATGAGCTGGCAGCTTCAGAACCTGTGAATGAATGTGGAGGGTCGGGTCTCTGTGACCTGGAGGGGTTGACTGTACAGCTCCTTCCTGGGGAGGAGGGCCAGGGCACTGACTGGCTGCTGCTTTGTGCTGTTTGCTCCGTGACTTAGACACATGGGACCTGGAAATAGGAGGCCTTGTCACCCTGTCCCCAGTTTGCCAGCCAGGGATCTGAGAATCATGTTTCTGGGAGCCTTGATGAGTCCTAATCTAGTCTAGATTTCTCAGCCCCATTCGTCAGAAGATTCTTCCAACCAAGCCAGGTGGATCTTTAACCTCAGCTTGGTGTGATGCTATTGTTTGCTTCCATCTGCTTAGGGAATTAACTATTACCAGCTTTATAGCTACCTTTCTACTTTGGGAAATTCGAAGTTGAATTTTGCATACACATCTTCTTTTGTAAAAGTAATGGTGTGGGGAAGAAAAGGTATGTTCTTGGAAGCAGAAACCAAGGCGTGTATTCCTGTCTCCAAGGACTGGCCCAAATCATTACACAAGTTCCTCCAGCACAGAATTAAAGGGCAAGTGGTAGATTTCCACTAAATAATCCTTCCTTCCCCAGCTTCAGGTTAGCATCTACACTGTCATTTATCAGTGTTTATTGAGCAACTTCTTGGACAAGCACAGTACATTCATTCAGGGCTCAAGTAAGACAAGCCCCCAGGTGCAGAGGTTTGCAACAGACTTCCCTGCATGTTATTTCTTCACTTTTTAATAATTTATACCTCCAGCTGTTGTCAAAAAGAATTTGAGGTAGCCTAGGGTAGAAACATACACAGGTCAAGGCAGGAAGATAAGAGATGGTATCGTAGAGTGGGGCAGTTGTCTTACTGCTGGGCCAGAAGACTGGCTTTAGCTCCGGGGTTCATGATAGTAAAGGCGGAAGGCAGTGTGGGCAGTAGACAAGCGCATTTGACATGTGCATTTGTATTTAGGTAGCAGAAGACAGCTGTTAAAAGGTGGGCTTTATTTAGAAACTATCTTACTTGAATGCCTAGAGTAAATAAGCAGACAATTAGCAAATTGTATAGAGCATTCTCTAAATTCAGAATTCATTATTGAAGTTAGTGAAGACCAACACATGTAGCGTTCTTGAGGAGCTTTCATGTCTCATTTAAACCGGGAATCACTGTTCTTGATTCATGGCTTGGTATGTCAGGAATTCTTTAATCCCATAATAAACAGCTTACTGCAGTGCTGGTCCCACCTGCATTAATCATCAGGCTGAGAGTCAGGTCGTTTTCAGGAAAGAGATCAGAGTTCAGATTAGAATAGTGGCCCCTGTGGTACCGTCAGTTTCTAGATTTCTAAAATAAATACGACAAGGAACATCCATCTGGTGAATGATTTCACATCCAGTCGCAGAGGTTCCCGTTTCCTTTTCATGAATTTCAGCATGAAAATAAAATTGATATTGATGTTAGTAAAAAAAAGAGAAAAATAGCAGGTGTGGTGTGCTGTTACCATACCAAGCTTTCTCATTTCCCTAGTCTTGATTCTGAGAGTAGACTGAGTTGAGAAAGTGATTCTGCTGACTTAGAAAGTACAGTGTCCTGTGCCCAAGCTTTGAGGGTCACAAGCCCTTAGGGGTTGAGGGGTGGAGGTGGTAAGTTTCATGTTGGAGAGCAGCTCTGCAGAGCTGCTTCCAGGGTGGGATGTCCTCCTTCCGGGCTATGTCTGTTAAGTCTGTTTCTTTCTGTGAACAGCAGTCAAGTGTCCACTGTCCCGTCTTGGTTCTAGAACTGAATAGGCTAGGGTTTGTTCCTCTATGTAAAGAAAGTTGCTTCGTTGGCCTCAGATTTGTGGATTGTGTGTGTGAGCTTCGTTCTCCTGTAGGCTTTGGGGGCAGAGCAGGGTAGACAGGGATTCTGTGTTTCTGATCCCCCCCTTCTCTGTGCTCTGTCCCACAGGAACACCTGATCGAGAATGAAGTGTCAATCCTGCGCCGGGTGAAACACCCCAACATCATCATGCTGGTGGAGGAGATGGAAACCACAACCGAACTCTTTCTGGTGATGGAATTGGTCAAGGTAGGAGGGGAGAGAGTTTCCAACTTGCGGAGCTCCTGAAGGACCTAAGGGAGGAGCTCTGGGCCACCTCGTAACCTGATTGTTTATAATCAGGTCGAGCGGCACCTCCCTCCTCTGCTCCAGGCTGAGAGCCCCTTCGGACCTTTGCAGGATCGCACTGTTGTGATGTTTCCATGTGTTCTTTTGTGAATGCTCCAGGGTGGAGATCTTTTTGATGCCATTACTTCTTCGACCAAGTACACCGAGAGGGATGGCAGTGCCATGGTGTACAACCTCGCCAACGCCCTCAGGTATCTTCATGGCCTGAGCATTGTGCACAGGGACATCAAGCCGGAGAACCTCTTGGTAGGTCTTCCCTGCTTTCTGTTCCAGCTCATGCCCCTGTTCCTTTAAAAGTGCTCATAATTTTGTGTAATCATAAGTAAATTAATATACTACATGATCTAAACCAGCCCTATAAGGAGATTTTAAGCAGCTTTAGGAAATCAGCAAGACTTCAATGACTGTAAAATAGCAATGGGTTTCTTGCAATGACCTGTGGTTCCTGTGTATCAGACAGCAATGTCCTGTGGTTCCTGTGTATCAGAAAATATGTTTTCATTTGTTTTGATGAGTGATTTATTAGTTTCTTGTTACTATAGTGAAATGCCTGAGATAACTCATTTATAAAGAGTGAAGGTTTATGTTGGCTCATAGTTTGGGAGGTCAGGTGGACTCATTGTCTCAGGCTTGAGGTGCACATGCTGGGTGGCAGTGAAGACTCTTTACCTCATGAGCAAGGAAGCCAAGGGTGCAGGAAGGGGCTGGCCCCCAGGACCCCCTGGACGCTCCCCCTTGGTGACCTGCAGAACACACACAGGTTCACCTCCTGGAGGTCCCCCTCTGCCCCACAGCATTGCTCTCAGAACCAAGCCTTTAATGTGTGGGCCTTGGAGACTCTCAGTATCCAAGCTGCAGCCGGGATGCCAAGGGGAGCAAGCTGGGTAATAACTGGGCAGACACTGGGAGGGATCCGCTGAGGACAGGTCGCTGCAGCTCGAAGGACAGAGAAGTAGAAAATGGGCGTGCTCTTACCTTGAGGTAAGAGAGCCGAGGAAAGTCTAGTCCATCCGTCACAGTTTTCTCCATGTGGAAACTGAGACCAACAGCTGCCCATTTTACTTGCCTGCAAGTGTTGTTTGCCCTGTTCGTCTCCCGAAGACAAAGCTGTGTTCTACCTCGAGGGCGCTTGTGAGTCAGGCTGGGCGCTCACCTCCCTGACGCTGCCACCTGGGGCTCTGAGTCCTCAGGGCCTCCGCTGAGTCAGGCTCATGCAGAGGCCACGGGGCTGTGTCCAGAGTGGTCAGGCAGCTCTTGGTGTGAGGAAGCTCCTGACTCCCTGCTCTCTCTGGCCCCTGGCCCCAGCAGATCTAGTTACTGCTGCTGGTGGTCAGTGCCACAGCTGCGGGTCACTCTGGAGGTGACCTGGTCACTCTGAAGCCAGCTCCTCCGGAGGTGCTGGTGGCTCAGGTCCCAAGCAAGGGAGAGGGCCCTGTATGTGCAGAGAGGCCCTCCTCTGCCTGCCGACCCCACTGTCAACCCCAGCCTTGTCTTCTGAGTTTTTTTGCTTTTGTTTTTGTCGTGCTAGAGATAGACTCCAAGGCCGCCTATGTGCAAAGCAAGGGTTCTTCGCACTGTGTTTTTGATGTGTGTGACGCGGCCTCACAGTCCCACATGCATGCCTTTTCCTTCCACCTCAGTGGAGTAGGCCATGCTCCACTGATCTTGTGTCTCAAAACGTAGCCTGGAGGTCTGAACCACACCTTGTCTAGTCTCCCCACCCCAAGGCTTGCACAGATCTCTTGTGCTGCCCAAAGGGAGAAGAAAGGCATTAAGACTGACCTCCGAGGAGGCCGATGTGTGGCGAGGGAGCTCGAGAGAGCCTGAGGTTCCCAGCTGTCTGGAGCAGAGACACTGGCCCCTGAGACTGAACTGCACGGCGGGGTCCAAGCTGGTGGTGGCCCTGTGGGAGAAAGCACTGCCGAAGCACTGCAAGCGAAGACTCGGAGTCATTGTCAGCCTCTGGCTGTCTAAGAACTAGTTCAGTGCTAAACACCAGTGCATTCAGGCATCTGATTTGCATCTGCTTCCCTGGTAGCAGTGTCATAATTTAAGCCCCTGCAGGCGGAGATGCATGGGTCTCCGCATCAGGGAGCACAGGGGCACCGTTAGGCCGTGAGTTACGGCCCAGAGCTGCCCTGTCAGAGTTAACGGTGAGAGGCCAGTGATAAATTCTGCTTTTCCGGGAGGCAAAGGGGGGGACAGGGGAGAGCAGAGAGTTGGTTTCTCATATTCTAAGTCCTTCTAAATCAGGAGGCTGACATTTTATTTAGAGAACATGGGGTGTTGCCTTTGGGTGTGAGACTGCTAATCTTCGTGATTTTTATTTTTGCATTCTATGAGCAGCTTTCAACCAAGCATCCTGGAGTGTGGCTGGGCCGAGTTCGTACAGTGCTGATGTTTGAAATCCACTCGGAGTCTGCTGCACAGGCGGGCTTTAGCTGGGCTCCCAGCAGGGCCGCCCACCCGCTCTCTTCAGATTTAGACTGTTCTGGAATGATGAGGGCTCTGGCTGCAGGCCCTGCTTGGCCCCTTGAGAGTAACTGGACTTCTGAGTGCCTCAGTTTCCTCATGGGTAAAATGCAGATAGCAGTTCTGGTTCCCTGGTGGGGTCCCTGGAAAGTTCCAGTGAGAGAATGTTTGGGAGCATATTGAGATTCCCAGAGTCCATGAGAATGTCAGTTACTAGAATCCCACCCTCCCTCACTCCCAAGAGAACTGAACAGCTTCCTTTCATGTGGGGGGTCTGGGGGTTAAACCCAGGGCCGCAGGGGCCCTGGGCAAGTGCTTCACCCCCAGGCCACCCGCCTGCCCAAGTGTCTATTCCTGAAAGCAGTGGCCAGCAGTCTCCCTGTCCACACAGACAAGCAGTGTGCGTCTGATTTTCCTCCTGCCTGTGATGAGAATCTCCAGCTCAGACCTGAAATGCACTCACATTTTATGTGTTTGGTTCTGTGTCCAGCACTGGGGAGAGATGGATCACATAAAATACTGTCATGGCCTTTGCCTTAGCTGAGGGTGTTGCCTGCCCAGACATAATTCAGCAACTCCAGACTGTGCAGTCACTTTCTATTTATGCTTCCACATCTGACTGAGTTCTTTATAGGAGATATGAAAAACAGGACTTTGGGATTTGTGCGTATCTGACAGCAACCCCTAAAGACCCCTAGCACCTCCAAATTGAGTGTTTAAATAAACACTATTTTTAGGCATGGTACCTAATTAGTGTATTTTTGAGTTATGGAAACAAAAGAGCAGTGACCTAAGACATAGTGACTCATGGTGCAGACGGCTAGGGACCCGCACTCAGGTTCCTATCACCACAGTTACTGAGGGCATTTCTTTCCGGTGTCCGAGTTTTGGGGAATGCGTCTTAAATCCTGGCCGTAATTATATTAGATTGTTGTCCTTCATGTCTGCATGCAGCCTAACGGGTGGAAAGCTGTCATAGGCCCATGCTTGACTCAGAGTCTGGACTAACTTTAGGCTGAATCATTAAAGTCTCTGAATGTGTTCCTGCTGAGTCGGGCATGACTCAGAATCATGGCTACCTGCCGGGCTTGTGTACTGCAGAGTGGGCAAGACCACTGAACTTGTGGGGAAGGGTGGGTATCTGTCACCAGGTGTTCGTGCCCGGGCAGCTACATGCTGGGCAGGTGCTGCCTTGTGGAGCCACGTCCCTGCCGGTGTCACCCTTTCTTGCTTGCCCCCGAGGGCTGGGGCATCGCTGGCATGGGGCGCCCTGAAGGTCTTAGTGTTTCTATGGATGAAGGTGTAAATCTCTTCCCGCCCTGAGGTGTGGGTATCATGCTGTTCACATGTTTGTCTTGAAAAAATTCAGATTGTCTAAATTGCTTTCTTGAGTTAGTAGTGGTTGAGATGAAAATCTGGTGTAGTTTATGGTAGAATGTCAGGAAAAGCAAAATAATACATTTAAAAATACAAATGAGTATGGAGTAGGTCTCTGCCATTCTGTTTTTTTCCTCCTTAAATTAAGTATTTTCCAAATGGACACCAGAGGACAAATGACCACACCAGTGAGTTTGTATCGTCAGATCTGGACTGTGGGTCATTCACATTTATTTGCTTCTAGCACTCTGTTCAGAACTGAGGCTTAACTCATAAGCAAGTTTTCCTATACATAAAATTAATGTTTTTCAGTTATGGAACCAGTGTACGGTCATTTTAAACATTTTGGAAACTGCTAGAAAGTATAAAGAGGGAACTTATAGTAATCTTCAATACTACCACCCAGAGATAAAATTTTTTAACATTCTTTTAACATTATATTTCATATAGAGTCTTAGTGGTTTTTTTTTTTTTTTACTTTAGGGTACTTTTTTATACTATATACTATATTAGTGAATATCATGTGCTAATATTTATTTGAAGGTGGGTGTGGTGGCACACCTGTAATCCCAGCAGTTAGGAGGCTGAGGCAGGAGGAGTACCGTGCATTTCAGACCAGCCTGAACTTTATAATGAGACCTTGTCTCAAAACAGTTTTTTTATTTGAAACATGATTAATAGCAGCTACATAATATCTTTTACAGGAATGCACCACAATTTACATAGTTACTGCCCTGTTAGCCATTTGTTTTGCTTCCAGTTTTTAAAAAAATCTAGCTAAGTTCCAACCATGGCATCGTGGTTTGGAGCCTCCAGTCCTTCTCTGTTCCCTTAGAGTAGAGCCTCAGGGATTTGCTGGCTCAAAGATTAGGAGTGATAGTAAGATTCCATACAGCTGCTTCTGAGAAATAATGCTTCTACCTGGAGCATAACGGGTCCCAGTTTTCTCTGGCATTTTGAAGCCTTTTCCAGCACGATACTGTCTCATCAGTCCTGCTTGGTGCTTTGTCTCATTTTTCCACTTCAGAAATGAAGACCTTGGTCAGCGAGGTTTGGTAGCTTTCAGACTGTGTGCAGCCAGGAGCCGAGTCGCACTGTGACTCAGGTTCAGGCTGTCCCGCTTCAGAGCCCACGTGCTTTCTAACCAGCCAAGGCTTTCTTCCGTATGCACGGTGTTTGCACCAGAGGCTGGGGACGCATACAGGGCCAGAGCACCTGCTCAGCATGCATGGGGCTTTGGGTTCCATCTCCAGCCCCATGGAAGCAAAGTGTTAATGTTTAGATTTCGTCACTAACCTTCCAGGAACAAGGCCACCATCCACACCCCCAGCTTTGTTTCCTAGAGTTAGCATGCAAGTCTCTTAGGGAACACCAAGTGCACTGAGGGACAGTGAACCTTACCCCTTCTTTTGCTGTTGAGTAGCTATGTAAAGGGCCTCGCTCAGGCCCATGAGTGAGCAGACAGCTGCTCCCCACTACTGTGAGCGTGCATAGGAGTGTGTGGATTCCTGGGCTGGGTGTTTCCTGCAGAGATGGAAAACGTGTCTTCTAACTTACACACAGTAATGCGGAATCTCAAAGAAAACCGTGTTGTGACTACACAAGGAGACATTTCTTTGGAGTGTATTAATAAATGTACTTGGTCTTTTCTGCCTCTGGAGTTGCGAAGGGGAAAAAGTCACTGACCATCAGCTGCTTTCTGTTCCAGGTATGTGAATATCCAGATGGAACCAAGTCATTGAAACTGGGGGACTTCGGGCTGGCCACGGTGGTAGAAGGCCCTTTGTACACAGTCTGCGGCACGCCTACCTACGTAGCTCCAGAAATCATTGCTGAGACCGGGTGAGGCTCCTGCGGGTTTGGGTAGCACTTTGACTTTAGTGGGCAGAGGGCCAGTTTTACAACTGCTGCTGCTGGCGAATTCAGTGCCTCCTGGGAAGGTGGAAAAGAGGCCGAGAGAGACAGAGACAGACAGACATACAGACATTGAGACCGTAACTGCAGCAGGATTTTGACTTCAGAAGCTAGAGTCTGTGCTTAGCTGGCCAAAAGCTAAGTGCCTAAACTTCTGCCCCAAGGCTAGTCTTGGGAATATAGCAGTGGTCATCAAGATGGTGGTTAGGAGGGCAGGAAAACAGATGGCTGTCCAAAGGGCAAGCCATTCCTCTGTATGGATGAAACAGCTTGATTCTTGCAAAGACTCTTGGTGGAAGGTTCCATAATCACCATCTACCTCCCCCTTGCTTTCCCAGCTATGGGCTGAAGGTGGACATTTGGGCAGCTGGTGTGATCACATACATTCTCCTGTGTGGATTCCCACCATTCCGAAGGTCAGTGGTGCTTCTGGTGACTGTATTTGAATTAAAAGTTCCCAGATGCTTTACTTCTGGTAGTTAGGACCTGAAACAGGTTGGTTGGTAAAAATGCTAGTTAAAAACTATAGAAATGTGTCTTTCACTTTTTATCTTAGTTTACAGCCTGGTGTATGTTCACTGACTACTCATTGATTCATCCATCCATCCATCCATCCACTCATCCATCCATCCTTCATCCATCTATCCGTCCACTCATCATCCATCCACTCATTCATCCATCCTTCCATCCATCCACTCATCCATCCATCCATCCACTCATCCATCCACTCATCCATCCATCCATCCATCCATCACTCATCCATCCATCCATCCACTCATCCATCCATTCATTCATCCACTCATCCATCCATCCATCCATCCATCCATCCACTCATCCATCCATCCATCCATCCATCCATCCATCCATCCACCATGTCAGGGAACAAACCCATGTCTTCCCACTTACCCAGAGTGGTCCTTGTTCTGCCTCCAAGCTATGTGCAGCCTGGCCATACTTTTGATTTGTGATCCAGGCCTTCACTTTGAGTTTCTGGTGACCATTCTTTAATGAATTACTTACATATCTCTACTTCAGAGTATGCTTCTTTCTGATTTCTCAGTCTTTTGGTGGGGGTGGTTCGGAGGACCACACCCAAGGCTTTGCATGTGTTAGGCAAGCACTCCACCTCTTAGCTACTCCCCCAGCCTCTCAGGCTTTGTAAGGGAGAGTCATCCTTGTGGAGCACTCTGAGTCCTCCCATTACACCTCTGTCCAGTGCTCCATAGTTGTCTGAGTCACCTGTACTTTTACGGTAGTGTTTATGTACTCTTTCAGAAGCATTCAAGCCTGTTCTCAAAGGAACAGGAACTCTTTCTCTCTTAGTTTCACTTTAGCCCTTTGCATAATATTTAATTAAGCAGAATTACAAATCCTCCTGGCACTGACGAGCTGGGAAGCAGACATCTGACAGTAGGTTGCTTCACCTGGTGGGGGCTGAGGTGGCCACATACAGCTGGCCAGGTGTCTGTGCCCTTGCGAAGCTGGCGGGCGGTCCCCAGGCTCCACATGGGACTTTGGCCACCAGTCTCGAGTAGATTCATCTCTTTCTTTGGAGCAAATAAATGACACTGAAGCAGCAGTTCACCTGACAAAGCATGTTTGATTTTCTTTTATACTTTTTGGAGCTCTGTTTTCAGTTTATCTCTTTATTCATTTTATCATGAGTAGCCATGATGTATGAGTATCATTTATGAGTAGCCACTATTTGCCAGGCACTATGTTAAGTGCTGAGAATAAATCAGTGAATAAAGCATAATCCCTGAGCTTGTGGTATGTTTTAGTCTGTCCAGGCTGCTATAATGAACTACCGTCAACTCTGTAGCCTGCAAACAATGGAAATTTAATGCTCACAGGCTGCAAAGTCCAAGAAAGGCGCCAGCAGACTTTGTCTGCTAAGAGCCCCCTTCCTGGTTCTTAGACAGCTGTGTCTTTGCTCTTAGCTTCCCAGAGTGGGAGGGGCTGGGGTTATCTAGGTCTCTGGTCAGGGCTCTAATCCTGACCTCGAAGACTGTGTCCTCAGGACCTGGTCACCTCCCAGGGACTCCATTTCCTAATGCGGCGGCATGGGGATTCAAAATCAACTGATGCATTTTGGGGAGACAAGCTTGCAGCCTATGGTGTGCTGTTTATTGTTTAGATCAGTAAGTGGGAAAATAGGTTTCTTTCTTCTCTCTCAGCATTTTTAATGAAAACTGTCAAGCATCCAGAAAAGTTGAAAGGTTTATCTAAAACTCAGCCTTTCCACTGAGTTGAAGTGTTTTATCAGCAGTTGCTGTAAGCGGAAGAATGATAGATAGATGTTGGTCTCTACTTTCAGGAGCGAGGCGCTTGGTGCAGAGACATACGTCACAAGAGTAGTGAGCATCCCCGAGCTGGGGCTGGCTTAGTTGAGGGCCAGATAGCACTGACCGAGGGCGTGCAGATGTGGGGCCCTCTAGTAACGGTGGGAAAGGTGGGAAGCTCTCTTATCCTCCATGGGGAGGCAGTGAGGTGCAGGCTGTAGGGTCAGTGTGCATTATCAGGTAGCTTTTCCTAGTTAACAAACTGTGCCACAGTTGGGCGTGTGACTCAGTTCTGCGAGTTACTCGGGGGTCCTCCTGCGCTGGTCGGCAGAGGCCAGGGTGGCCCTACTCCCCTGCCCAGTGGTTGGCTGGCTGTCAGTTGGGGTGTCGGAAGTGGCAGAGACTGGGCCATGTGCCTTTCCATCAGCAGCAGGCCAGCCTGGCCTCCTGTGGTGTGGGAGGCAGGGTTCCCACAGCAGCCAGTGAGGAGGGTAAGGGCCCCTGCCCAGACTTTGTAAATCTCCTTGCTGAAGACCAGCTCAAGGTAATTATCTGGCAGATAATCCCAGAGTGAACTGGGGGGGATGAAACCAAAGCTGCGGGTGGCAGAGCCAATACTGTTGTTGGTGGCCATTTTCACAGGCTAACCAGGCTCTGCTCTGGCTGCTGGGGAAGCCCGTCAAGGGGGGGAGGATGGGGTGTTTTGACTGTAGGTGGCTCTGGGCCCTTCCAGCCAGTCCCACCACCCGCTTCCAGTGGAGGAGCGGGACCAGAGCTTAGCGTTAGAAACGCGTATGCTCACTGCTCCCTCTAGTGTTTCAAACGAGTACTGCAGCCCAGGCTTTTTGGTTTGGTTTTGGTTTTGGTTTTGGTTTTGGTTTTTGGTTTCTGGTTTTAGCAAACATGGGGCTCTGACTAAACAGTATATATTTATCATGGATTGTTACCCAGCAGGCAGCAGCTTCTTTGTGGGATCTAGAGTTGACTCTGGCTAATCAAAACCAGAAAAGCGACATTCTGAAAGCCGCTGCGCTCATATATTATATTCAGCAGCAGGTCATAGAACTGCCTACTTTTTAAATATTAGAAAATGCTTTCCTTCTTTGCTGCCATATTATATTGAAAGAAAGTCTCTGGTGTTAAGTGCTAGTCACAGAAGTCGTCACAGCCTACAGGGACGCTCTAGGTGCATTTTAGGGCCTTCCACCACCTGAAACTTGTGCGGGAAACTCTGGGGGCTGTAACGGAAGCAGCAAGAGATTGTGACATAAAGTAGCGTCTTCATAAACTGTGACTGAAGTAAGAGCCCATTACACAAATACTTCCAAATATTTTGTTTTATTTAAAAGACAACTGTAACCCAAAGCTTTTGAACCACAATTGGTGGCTTGGGATTTGCAGTTTCAGTGCCTGGAAGTGTAACACCCCTTGTTCTTTCTTCCTTTCGTGCTTTTGGGTTTCGCCCTAGCCGATGTGTGTTCTTCCTCAGCTCTTTTCAGCATCAGCTTGAACTTTACTAAGGAGATTGGTTTTTCAGAGGCACCCCAAATTTTGATTGTTGCCTGAAAATGTCTGCTTTTAGGGCCACTGATAACGTGTGTGTGTGTGTGTGTGTGTGTGTGTGTGTGTGTGTGTGTGTGTAACTGTAGTGAGATTCTCAGTTACACAGAGGCATGCACACACACTTTGCATGTGGAAGGTTTGAGCCTGGCTTATGAAATCGCATTCAGCACTGTTAGGCTGCCTTTTCCTACTGTTAGGGACCTGTCATTGGAGACACGGTGTGCACAGACCCTGCTGTGTTCATGGTTTATCTTAATGGACAGTTCCAGACTTAATGGCACCTTGAGCCAAAGGCTCTTGAATAAGAATAAAAAAGTGGCCTGTGGCTTCTCCGCCAGACTTCAGAGTGTAAATATGACAATAAATCCAGGAGGGTTCCATCAGGGCCACCTTTCCTTCATGCCTGCAGGGAAGAATGAACCCTCTTCAGCCCTGTCCTGTCCTGGGGTGGCTGAGCATCACCACGTCCACCTCATTCCCCGAACCACCCGGGCTTTGCTTGTTGATTCAGGCCACTTTGCCAGGAGCCCGCTATGTAGAGAATGTACTTCTGGCTTCCACTACAAGATAAAAGTGATCTGGGCTAACACATAAGCTATGTGAGACTCCTGAAAAAATGTAGGGATGGAAAGTGGAGAAAATAGGAAGGGTGGCTAAAAGGAACAGCTCTGGAAATAGATAGTTTCTTTTTTAAAAAATAGATCATTTCTTAAGTGTCTTCTGACATTATTCTGATTTTTTAAAGGTTTTTATAAAGTCTTACTGGCTTTTTCACTCCTTTTGAAGGAGTTCAAAGTGTGGGGCTATCACTGTAGAAAGGAAAAAAGGCTTCATCCTATGTTGGCTGTTATTCACTGGGTCAGCTTTCTGCTGCAGGGGTGAGGCTCCAGCAGGCAGCACCTTCAGGGAGGAAAGGTTCATTCAGCTTATGGTTTCAGAAGTTTCAGTCCATGGCCAGGTGATTCTGTTGCTGTGGGCTGAAGTGAGGCAGGACCTCGTGTGGAGGGGTGGTGGCAGGAGGCTGCTCCCCGATGGCAGCGAGGCAGCAGAGCACAAGGGAGAGATCCAGAAAGGAAGGCCTGGGGACCTTCACAGTCCTTGGGCCATATCCCACGATCCACGCCCAGTAAACACACCAATTCTGATCCATCAAGGAATTACCACTGCTGAAGTTAGAGCCCCATGATCCCGTCGGCTCCCAAAGACCCATCAGCAACCAAGCACACTGCAGTCCTCGCAGCGGGTATTTTGGATGCCAGTTGTAACGATGTCTTTGCTGTTTTATTGGAAAAGTGGGAAGAGGTCGGACTAGCCAGCCTGACACAGACTTGCTGCTTTTCTATTCTTACTGTGGTGAGAAGGCGTGAGGGCAGATCATGACCCCACAAATGGGGGTTTCCATTATTTGTAGATGACATTTTCTTTTTAAATCTTTTCATTGTGGTTACGTATGAGCAACATAGAAGTTCTCATGTAACCATTTTTGCCCTCTTAGGGCAGGAACTTGATCTGTTGCCAAGGTTACTCTCAAACACGCAGGCCTAAATGACAGTCCCACCCGGTCACCCCAGCAGCTAGGACTCCCAGCATGCACTGCCACGCCTGGCTTCTGTCCTGTTTTCACCTGTGTAGCACAGTTGAATTGTACAGTGACCGCCCCTCTCCATCTTCAGCCTTTTCCTCTTCCTAAACTGGAACCCTGAGCCATTTTATCTTGGTCTCTGTCCATTTCTGATTGTCAGACCATGGAAATGTTCTCTGGCTCATTGTCTGAAAGGAAAACTTTGTCACCACCAACACAGTGTTGACCCACAGCTGAGACCCAAAGTGCGGAGGATACTGAGTCCCTCCTGTTCTGTCCATGAGTGCTTTGTTGAAAACTGTGCTGACTTAGACTTGACTTGACTTGACTTGACCTGACTTCCCTCCCCTCCTCTCCCCTCCCCTTCCCTTTCTGTGTCCCTGGCTTAGTGAGAACAATCTCCAGGAGGATCTCTTCGACCAGATCTTGGCTGGGAAGCTGGAGTTTCCCGCTCCCTACTGGGATAACATCACCGACTCAGCCAAGGTACCGTCTCCAAGGGTTTCTGAGGGGTGAACTCCCTGGCAGGCTGTGGGCTTGGTCAGTCACACGGGGCCAGCAGTGACTTAGAGCGTGAAGCAAGGGGATGAGCACTTCGGTGTTCCCCTGTGGTCTTTCTGTAAGCTCACCTCATGGTGAAGTCTCCGAAGCTCTGGACCAAGTTTTGAAAGTCGGAATGACTGTGTTCCTACCTGCTTCTTGAATCTGTAAGCTCTAGTTCTTCCATCGATTCAAGAACTATGTACTGGGTGCCCATCAGAATACAGGCGTGAACCTGTGAGAATACTGAATTACAAAGGAAAAACCTTGCAGTATTACACTATGGAATGAGGACAGCGACCAGAACATTTAAGGGAGCACAGCTTGGCTTTGTAGGAAGAACCATCCCCTCCCACTCTGGGGCTGGCAGAGGCAGCTGCATCTCTGTCCTTGTTGGCAGTGGGAGGGCAGGGAGGCTTCAAGGCCAGGCACCCCAGGGGCTGTGTTGCCTGCTCTTTGACATGCCTGCTGCAAACTCAGGCTTGTGTATTTGTGCTGGAAGTGTCCCCTTCCTCCTCTATGGTCTTCCTTCTTTCCTTCTCTTTTTCTAGGAATTAATCAGTCAGATGCTTCAGGTAAACGTCGAAGCTCGATGTACTGCAGGACAAATCCTGAGTCACCCCTGGGTGTCAGTAAGTACCCGCATTCCAGGAGGGGCGGCTGTGTTCCTGTGGCCAGCGGCAGAGCCTGGCTGTGTGTTCTGCACAGGCGCAGCTGGGAGCCTCTCTCATTCCTAATCAGCAGCAGGAAGGGCGCTGTCAGGAGGGAGCGGTTGACACCAGGGCCGAGTCCTACTCTCTGATGATGGAGCAAGTGGCTGTTGCTTTCTGAGCTTCAGTGTCCACCTCTTCCAGGGTCGGGGCCTGGCTGTGGTCTCCTTGAGGAAGCTTGTGTGTCTCACCTGTCCCTGTTGATGGGCCTGAGAGTTTTCAGGGTGTGCCCTGGGGAGGAGCCTGTGGTCTGTGCCCTGCGGGTCCCAGAGACCTTGCTGTGGGTGGGGAATGGCAACATGGAGTTCACTGATGGGTGTGCCCTCCCATGTCCGGCTCTCCAGAAGAGAGAGTTGATTCTGATAGCCATGGGCTTCGGGTAGCCCAGCAGCCCTTGTGCACTCTGTGCTGCCACCACTGTCCTGGGCTAAAGACGCAGCCTTTGGAGTGAGCAACCAAGAGGCCACATCTCCCCGTGCGCCATGCAGGCCAGTGACCAAGGGCTGAGGGACTGGGGCTTGTGGGGGGCGCACCCCAGCATCTCATGCATGGTAAACTCATGCACTACACGGAGGTCTGCTCCAGCCTCTTGCCTCCTTTTGAAACAGGTGATGAAGCCTCTCTGTGTGGCCCAGATTTGCCTTGAAATCACGAGCTCAGGCGATTCTCCTGCCTCAGGCTCCCAAGTGGCATGGGGACCTTGAGAGCAGGCTGTGGCACCAAGCAGGGACTCCCTTAACCGTGTCTGAGACGGGGCCATTTAGGAAGAGGCCAGGGGCTTGGAGAGTGCAGTAACTGTTACAGAAAAGACAGCTTCGTTGTGAGAGTCAGAAACGATTGTATGTGATGCTGTTCCTTTGTGCAGGATGATGCCTCCCAGGAGAACAACATGCAAGCAGAGGTCACAGGTAAACTGAAACAGCACTTTAACAATGCGCTCCCCAAACAGAACAGCACCACCACCGGGGTCTCCGTCATCATGGTAAGTGGTGCAGCTCGGAGTCCCCCAAAGTAGGCGGCCAGAGCTTCTGTCATGTGTTGTGTCCCCCGGTCTCGTGGAGAAGTCAGAAGGGCGCTCTGGGGGGGCCCTGGGCAGGGGCCATGCAGGATCCCGGGAGGCCAGGCTGATGGGTGCAGGTGTCAGGCCCCGAGCTCTCTGCTGTCTCCGACTCCGCTCCCCAGAGCCCAAGAGCGGCAGCAGAAGCAGGTAGCCCCACCGCCCAAGTTCCCAGGATTATTCAAGGCATTGATTGTTTTGGATTTGGGATAAGAAGTAGCCAATGTGAAACAAGTTTGAATTAGTGTTTTATAAATGACAGTTTGGGGTTCTCAAGACTACAAAACAACTTTTTTTAAAACATCAGTAACAATGGTCATCATCGTTTCTTTTGTACCTTTTACAAAACGCTGCCAGCTTGACATAGCAGCGGTACATGGATGGTCGTCTTGCCTAGTGGGACAGTCACGCGTGTACCAACAGTGGTTCAGAGCCAGCCGACAGCGAGATAGGCAATACGGCCCTGTTGTGAATGTGTTGTCTAAGTATATAAATGTAACACGTGAAAATGAAAAGTAGCATTAAAGAAAGGGAAAGGAAATAAAGGCAGGAAAGACAGAAAACTAAGCCAGAAGTGAGCCGAGTAGGCAGTGGTGGCTGTCCAGGCCTGAGCGCTTGTGAGCTTGGCCAGGCTCCCAGTGGTTCCCAGTGGCTCCCAGCAGCCTGGCAGGAGGGGCAGGGCCACCTTCCCCAGAGCCAGAGGTGGCCAGAGGTGGCCACAGCAGCTGTAGCACAGACTGCCTTAGTGTCCCCACAGCCCCACTGCACCAACCTCTCACTGTGTAGGAAAGTCCAGCTGCAGGGAGAACCTTGGCTTCTCCCCCACGGCACCTGACAATCCGGGAACTTGGTCTGGGAAGGTGAAAAGTGAAGGCAGGAGCTGGAGGGACCCCCACACCACACCCATTCGAGCACCAGGAGCCCCGCTGCGCCCCATGCCTGTCTATCCCGTGCTTAGCACCTGCCGGCCTGCACTCTAGCCTCTACCTGGAGGAGGCTGTGCGTCTTTGGCTGCCCTCTGGATGTCCTCTGTTTTCCCTGGTGGCCCTGCCGTGGAGAGTACTGTCCCCTCCCTCCTCAGACAGCCTGGGCCTCGTGACAATTTGCAGGCCTTTGGGGCCTACATGTGCCTCTGATGTGCCGAGGGGTCAGAGATTCATGGTTTAAATGCTTGGAGAAGAACCTGCTGCCCGGAGCCAGCACCATGGGACACTGACGTGATTCCCGGGCATCAGTGTCAGGAGACCGGGTGGGCAGCCTCGCTGTGCTCTGTGCGGTGAGGGAATTTCTGGAGAAATCTGGAAAATGAAAGCATCCAGAACAGGCAGAGTCAGGCCGGGAGGAAAGGAGCTCAGCGGCAGCCCACAGGCTTGGCACTAGAGGAAGATAGATGGGCACCTTCAGCCGGAGTGAGGCCAGGAAGGCTCTGTTGGGCTCAGACATGAGTGACCCTGTGCGAGCCAGAGCTCAGCTGTATGGGCCCTGCCTGCCCCGCTGCTTCCTGGCCACCTCTCCACTGAGGTGCTAGATGGACAGATGGTGGACGGGCTGTCAGACCCCGGCCCGGGGCAGTGTGTCCTGGGCATCGATGCTGAGAACCCTCATACAGAGCTGTTCACAGGGCTTGCAAGTGGCATTTTCCCCTTTGCTGACCTCGGAAGGAGTTTGGCTGGTGCCGCCAGCATGGGGAGCCATCCCTGACCCGACAACGCCAGCAGCAAGAGGCCACTGTCAGGGTCCCCAGGGGCGCCTCGCTATGTGCTGCAGGAGAAGGCAGCTCATGGGAAAGTTTAGAAGATGTAAAAGCCACCCTTTGTCATTGTCATGGCAGCAGTGACCGAGAGCTGGCTGGGCCGTCTAATTGCATGTCCCTTGTAGGACTGCAGGCTACTGGCGTTATCCCTGCTGCAGGTCCAAAACTTTGGGCAGTGACTCAGGGCACTGTCTGCCAGCCTCTGTGAGAAGAGCGTGGACTGTGTCCCCACAGGACCCACTCTGTGGCTCAAAAGTCACTTGTGTCTCCAAAAGCAGGAGGAGGACAAGGCCTGTTGCTCACCTGCCCTGCGGAGACCAGATCTAGTGTGTGTGTGTGTGGGGGGGGGGATGTGTGGTACTTCCTTGCCTTTGTTCTCTTCCTCCTCCTCTTCCTCCTCCTTGCTGTGACCTCTGGCTGGATGCCCTGTCTTTGGGGACTGTCTTAAGTGCTTTTGCGGGGGTGGGGGGGGTGGTGTTAACCAGGGATCGAACTCAGGATCTTGTGCTTGTCAGGCAGGCCCTTATGCCTCTGAGCTAAATCCCAGCCCCTTAAATGCTTTTTATATTAAAAAGAACTGCAAGATGACTTCCTTGGGCCTCATCACTGTGAGCTGACAATTTCCTGCAGCTACAGGTGACGGTCCTGTGGCTGGCCGGGTGGGGTCAGCGGCCTGGGGAGCTGGGGAGCGGCCTTCCTGGCCCCCCGTAGTGCTGAGGCTCCTGTGAGGAACCGTAGGAAGTGTCCACTGGGAGAGGAGGGAAAGCCCACAGTGTGTCTACATTTTATTTGCCGGTTTGAAATGACAGCGAGAGACCTCACTGAGCTTCCTCCCTTACCGGGTGGGGATGCAGGAGCCCCCTCCATCTGCCGGCCGCTCAGAGCTGCCTGTGGCGCAGGCCTCGCCCTCATTCCCCTCCCCAGCGTCTCCGCTGCCTCCTTCCCAGACTGAGGGTTGGCGCCTCAGGGCAGCAGCCCGGCAGGTTCCCACCTGCAGTTTCCACACGGAAAGGGCCGCCTAGGAGTGACACCCCTGACGACGGACGCCTCTGTGCAGGGGTTTGTCCTCTGTCTCGCGGACATCTTCACAGCTGGACTGTCACCAGGGGCACCACGTGCCCGCCAGCCTTATTACCTGGCAGGCGAGGCTCTGGCTTCGGGAAGGCCTGTGGTTTGGGGTGACACCCCATTTGTCCTGACTGCCTTTGACATGCAAGTCTGGACAGCACGTTTTGGGGACCAGTTCTTTGCCGGCCCCCCCCCCCCACCGAGGGCTCATCCCAGCTCCGACCGGCAGCGGTGGCGCAGCCTGCACCGCACCCAGCAGCGCGGCCAGCCTGGCGCGGGCGGGCGGGCGGAGGCTTCCCCTGGGCGGGCGCTTCCCGGGCAGGGGCGGCGGGCGCGGGCCCCTGCTCGAGGTGGACAGAGACCGCTGGAACCGCGTTGCTTCCGTGGAGAGTAAGTCTGGTTTCTGTCCCCGCTTCTCTCCTCCCGCCTGCCCCGCCGCCTGCCTTGCTTCCCCTGCCTAGGTCCACGGCCACGGTACGTACGATCTGCACGGCCTCGCTTCCCGCTGCCTGCCCGGCGGCCGCCGAGGGGAGAAAGAACGGGCGCCCTGCTGGGGGTCGCGGGGGTCAGGGGGCAGCAGACGGCGAGTCCCCTCGCGGGAAGGGCGCGCTGGGAGCGGAGGTCCTGGGTGGCCGGGCTCCCGCTCTTCCCCCTCCGCGGCCTGCATGCTGCGTCCTGCGCGCTGCTCACCCCGTCCGCGAGGGCCCGGCGGGCGCTGACCTGCTGTCTGCTGCTTTCTCCCCAGAACACGGCTCTAGATAAGGAGGTGCAGATTTTCTGCAGCAAGCACGGGCCAGAAGGCGGCAGACCCGCGCCGGAGCCGCGCTCGCCCACGCCGCCCCCTGCCGAGGAGCCCGCGGAGCCCTCCCCACCGCGCTGTCCTCCTGCGGCCGCGGGCTGCGCGCGCGCGGGGACCTGGCGCCGCCACCGAGACTGAGCCCTGTCCCCGCGGCGCAGCCCCTCTCCCGACTGCTGTGGGTACCCTGGCCCCGTGCAGGGCTGCGGGGGACCCGGGTCCTGGTGTCCCCAGCTGGGGCCTGGCCCGGCCCACACTGCGCACTCTGGCGCCAGTAGCGACCTCTGCCGTCAGCGTAGAGACCGACGTTGTCCCCAGTGACTTGGTCTGGGTCACTGTTCGCAGCTCGGTCCGCACAGATTTTGTAGAAACACCGGGTGGGCCGCCACGAGACTCCGCGTGTAAGTGCGCTGGCCAGCGCCCTGCCTCATGGAGAACACCGCCGTCCCCCTGGTGCATGTCCGGGAAGAGGGGACCTGAAAGCCTCCTCGCGTCCTTCAAAGTCGAGCGCGTGGCCCCTGCGGCCGCTGTCCTCCATCTGACCCGCAGGCGGCGGGTGCCGGCACGCTGGAGACAGCTGGGTATTTATTAGAACACAGACCATACGGTGGCTTCTTCCCTCCTGACGAGGATTCCCCGCCCTCCCCCATCGGCATCCCGTGTCGCCCTGGCGTCCTCACCCGCTTGTCCTGGCCGAGCGCGGCCGGGCCAGGCAGGAGGTGCCCTGGACGTCCCGTCGCTAACCTGGAAGGCTGCTGGCAGTTTTCCCTTTTTTCCACCTCCCTCCTCTTTGTAAGAATTCCACACGGTCACGTGTTTGGCCTCCCTGCTGGCCCCTGCACAGGTGGCTGTGCGCAGCTCATTCTCCCTGTTAGACGTTCCCTTCCCAGGTCCCCCACCTGCAATAAACTCTTCCCTCTTCAGAAAAAAGCCATCGAGGATGGGCAGAGGCTCCGAGTGGCTGCTTGGCAGGGCGCGTGGTGACCGGAGCTGGCTTCCAGGAAGGTCCGCTCGGGAGGACACGGAGTCTGTGGTCACACGTGTGGGAACTCGGGCCACAGCAGCTGCAGAGTGAAGGCCCCCGTGGGGAGCCGCGGCCCGAAGCTCAGGCTTCACGGGAGCCGCGAGCCAGGGCAGCTGGGCTGGTGTCATCTCCTCCCTCGGGCTGTGCCGCCCCTGGCCCTGCCTTTCGCTGTCTCCCAAGCCACATCTCTGCCTGCCAGCTCTGGGTGGTGACCCTCACGTCACTGGCCAGGTGCCTGGGCCGTGCTGGCCTCGCCTCTGACCCCGCTTCTGCAGGCTGCACGGTGCCCCTGCCTAGGCCACCCAGCCGGGCTGCTGACAGGACAGAGCTCTGACGGCCAGTGCTGGCCCAGGACCCTAGCACCCAGGCCGGTCCTAGAGTGCATGTGGGCTTCCTGGGTCCCTGGCTGTGGCAGGGCCAAGCTGCAGGAGGGGCAGCTGTGACACAGGTCTAGGGTCTAGGACATTTTGCTGTGTCTGTGCTGACTGGTGTAATAGCTTTCCCTAGGGATGTTGTCATTCTAGAAAGGAAGAGCTGATATACAAAGGCAATCAAAATATATGGTGTTTATATTTTTAAAAATTTGTTACAAGCAGTGTGTGGCGGTAATCTCAGCACTCAGTAGGCTGAGGTGGGAGAATCTGGGTGAGTTAGAGGCCAGCCTGGGCTGCATAGTGAGACTCTCAAATACTGTAGTAAAAGACACATTGCCATTAATCTCCCTCATATGACTCTACCCCGCTTTGAACACATGAGTACTGTCCTCCTCGTCACTGAGGCAGTTCTGGAGTTCTTTCTTAAGCATCTTTATGGTGAATGCGGGGCGCCATCTGACAGATGGAGGCACAGGCTGGTCAAAACATTTCGGTGTCCCCGTCCACCTTCCTCACTGCATCTGGCCTGTGCGGCTTCCGGCCCTTCCCCAGGGTCAGGACGACCACACGGAGCAAACAGTTTGCCTTGGCTCCAGCCACTGTGGCAGCCACTGCAGTGCAAGCAGACAGGAAAGAGACTTCGAGAACTGCCAGCAAGGAGGACGGCAGTCACCAGAGGGAAACAGGCGCATCCTGAGACCGCAGTGCCAAGGAAACAGGCAGACTTAACCACCACATGGCTTCTCTCCCGTGAGGCTCCCCAAACATAGAAAGACAGAAGCCAGGTAATAGGAAGCAGGGAAGTAGATCTCCCTCAAATGGGGAGGGGACTGAAGCGTAAAGACGGGTGGGTACCCGAGCCAGCCCCTGCGGGACGTGACTGCACTAATAGGAGATGACCGGCGAGCCCACCTCGGGGAGTTAGCAAGTGGTGGGAAGAATGCGATCAGGTGTTTAAGGCAAAGGCCATCTTTTGGGGTCATGGCAGTCTAATCCAGTTTCTATCACATTTCATGAGGGTGGAGAATATTAAAATGGGGAGGGGACAGGGTCCCTGCTGTCCAGTGATACCCAATGCCTCCCTCCCTGGAGTTGCAAGGTCCACAGTGAGGAAGTCAGCGTCACCCCAGCAGCGCTGCAGGCTTGAGGACAGATAGCTTTGCTCCCCTAGAAACCTGGGGAGATGCATGGGGGTGGAGGAGGAGCCCGAGTTCCTGTGAAAGTGTGACCTTCTCATGAAGGCTGGTGGCATGTAAATAGCTGGCCCCGGCCCTGCATCAAGGTCCTCACTGGACAGGCCAGCTGCTCGTTGGCCCATGTGCCATGCAGACATCTGCTACACTCCTTTGGTTTTCAGACTCCGCTGGCCCAGTGGCTGCACTGTCACAGGTTTGCTCCCTTTCTGAGCCGGGGTCGGTGTCTAAAGCAGCTGCCCTTTGGAGGGGTAGAAGGGAAGGGGTGGCATTTCCTCTTAAACCTCGGCCCTTCCCTGCTGGGCTGTGAGTGCGTTTGGCTAAACTCTCTCAGCGCGGGGTGGCTAACTGGTGAGACCTGAACTCGGAGATCCGATGGTCCGGACAGCTTAGTTACTAAAGAAGGCATTGGTTAGCGTACTGGAGAGAGCGCTAAAGCAGTTACTGTCCCATGGGAATGAAGTGCAAGCCACGTATGTTCCGTCGCCAAGTACTGCATTAAAAAAAATTGGTTCATTGGTATAATATGTTTTATTTAGCTTCATATGTCCAAACACACATCCCAGGTATTCAGAACATGACTGTTGACATGTCACCCTGCCTTGCTCTGCATTTTTGGGATCCGGATTGTATTCGTATACACAGCGCAGCTCAGATCTGGCCAGCCCGGTACAAGGGCTTGAAACCCGTGGGCCACTGCCCTGGCTGCCCTGCGTCTCTGGTAATGCATCCACGCTCACAGAGAGGATCCATCTAAGATGAGCAGGTTAGCAGGTTAGACCCGGATCCAGACTTGTGGCTGAAATCAGAGTCCTGGCTCTGTTCTGTAACTCTCGAGGGCCCTGCCTGGCTGGCGGAAGGGCAGGGGTGAGGATCGAGTCCCTGACAGCCCACGGCAGTGGATTCCATCCGGTGTCCTGAGAGCCCTGAGCAGGGAGGGGTGGGAGGCCCTGGCTGTCAGGGGCTGGCAGAAGAAAATTTGTCAGATATTTATTAGAGATGGAGGCTGGGGATGTAGCTCAGTGGCGTAAGTGCCTGCCTGGAGAGTGTAAGGTCTGAGTTCAATTCCCAGTACCAAAACAAATGCCTGGAGGTGACTGGAGGCTCAGTGCTGTATATGACTGTCTTAGGGTGGAGGGAGGGTACAGGCTTCATTTCCCCAGGAGTTTGCCAGAGCAGGTAGGGAGGAGTGCCAAGTGCCAATTGAAGTGACATGGTAATGACAGAGTGGCCCGGTGTGGCACTGGCTGCTTTACACAGGGTTGATTTGGGGCTGTTGGCCATGGGCAGCTACCAGGGACAGCTGATGAGGCTTCATCCTCTCGCTCAGCCGCACAGCCCTGAGATGGAAACCGATGCCCCACATTTAATAAGCTCAGCCAGCTCATCCTGCCTGGGTGATCTAGGGTCTTGGGGCAGGTCCCCTGGTATGGAGGCTGCCCCGTTGGGTGCACAGAGGTGTGCTAGAGGGGAGACTTCACAGCTCAGAAGCCAGCGGGAGCAGGGTGTTGGGCTGAGTCCTGTGGTGGCAGGCAGGGCTGTCATATGTGTCTGTCTCGCAGGAGCCCTCTGAGTAAGACTGGGTGCGTTTGCCACAGCGCTGCTCCCTGGCCGTCCTGGGGGTGTGCCGGGCACAAAGGCCTGGGCTCAGCAGCCTGGCTTCAGCGTGGCGGGCTGGGTCCCGAGCTGCCAACTGTGGGTAAGCAGCTGTCAGGGCTCAGGCTGAAGCAGAGTCTGGGAAACATCTTTGAAATTACCCAAGTCTAGGGCTTCTTCTTGCCAGGCGTCATCAAGTAACCATTCTGCCCAACTCTCCCACCATCCTGGTTTTGGCAAGGGAAAATATTCCCAAGTTTGAAGCAGAAAAATAATTTCACATGTCCTATGCACAATCCCTGAGGCCTCAGAATCCCCAGGAGTGTCTCAAGTGGGCCTCTCCCAGAGTGGGCTGCCCAAGGCTGCACCACCCTCCCCTGCATTGGAGGGCAGGTCAGGACCGGCTCGGTCTAAGCCAGCAGTTAGGGCCACAAGGGACACATCAGTGTGGTAGCCAGCATGGGGCTGGCACCCACAGTCCTGGCCATCGAGGGGACCGACACAGGAGGTTCTCGAGCCCAGGAATCCAGCGTCAGCCAGAGCAGTGTAAAAGTAACCTGGTGTTGAAAGAATGATCTTGTAATCAGAGAAATGCCTCACAGACTCACCTTTTCAAAGCTGTAACAAAAATCTGAACGGTGTATCTCCCCATCACGTGACAGGAAATGGAACGTACAAGGGCTGTTGTACTTGCTGTTGTGTGGTTTTTATTTATCTGCTGCTTTGTGAATTTCCCTTCCTTCATCAGAGGAGGGTGTCTGGAAACTGCAGCCTCCATTCCTCTGCTGCAGTGAGGTCTGGGAAGCTACAGGATCCGACCTGATTCCTCCACTGCCGCCCACAGGGACGCAGAGGGCAGCGCTGCGTCTCCACCGAGTACAGGGTCTACACGCCCAGCTTTCTGTGACTGTGGCCTTGCTGTGGCCCAGGGTGACCTCGCATGAGGCTGGGCGGTCAGGGCTGCAGCTCTGTATGTAATCTGTCACACCAGACACTGGCGGCCCGGCAGCCTCTTTGAGCGCTGTGCTCTGCAGGGCCTGAAGCAGTGAGGTGTTCCAGCCTGGACGCCTGGGCCTCCCGCAGGCCATCAGTGCACAAGCTGACCCGCAGGGCTGCCCTCTGTGTCAGCCACCCTTTGGGGTCCCATGCCAGGTCTGCTAAGTACAACCAAATGATGCTTCTTCAGTAGGTGAGATGAGCCTTTTAATTGAGTTTATGTACACAAACATTGGTTTGTGGACACTTTGGGAACATGATGCTCTTTGAGAGGTGAACTGTGCACAGGTTTGCACTCACACATTTCGGATTTTCATAAACTGATCAGCTTCCTCTGCAGAGTGCCAGGGGTTTCTTGAAGGACAGAATTTCAAGGCTTGCCTGGTCACACTGCACTGGGAATAGATATGGCAAGGGAAAATGCTTAATTTCGTGAGGGGATGCATGTGACATCACGGTGCCCAGGTCCTCCTGTCCCCCTCTGATGCCTCTCCAATTTCCCTTTCTCCTCCCAGTTCACTTACATTTATTTGAAGTAATGGTGTTTTTTCAATTTAGTTAAAACCAGCTAAAGATAAGTGAATGCTGAGTAAATCCCATGAAATACTGTGCTGCCTGGATTCTGTCCTGAAGACATTCCTCACTGAAGGTCAGGAAGCTGTCAGTTTCCTGTCATCCAGGGTCTAGAAACAGTAAAGGATGCATGCCAGAGACATTCGTTTGCAAGTTCCAGTGGGCAGGGCTCCGTTCACTGGGCCCGAGGCTTGGGCAGACCGGCAGCAGTGGGTGGTGCCTGGCATGTGAGTGAGGTGCTGCTGATGGCTTGCATTTCCAAAGTGGAAAACTCACAGGTTTACCACCAGCCAGGATGCCAGTCAGTTACTTTACCAGGAACGTGGCTATTTCTATGGTTTTAAATGTAGCCCCCTCCCTCCCATTTTATCTTCTGTTACTTTTCAATAGCTTCTAAAATAAGGATGGGCCTTAGATGAGCCAGGCCACACTGTAGGGTCCTGTGGTCGTTCATGGGATTCAGGCCTGGCTCGTGTATAGGTGCCAACCTGCCAAGCAAGGCTGTTCTACTATGTGGGGAGCCTCCTGTGCTCACTATGAGAACCATGGCAGAGCCACTCTGGGGTGGTATGCATGTTTTAAAATTAGGGGTGAAAGATTCCTGGCAATTATTATTCTATTTTATTTAGGTTTTTTTCTTTTTTTGCCAAACAGAACTGTTCATTCCAAATCTTGGCTTTTAGAAAATACCTAAATGTATAGGAAAAAGGAGAAAAAGGGGAGAGGGCCCAGATAGGCAAGATGTATGATGAACAGAGATGATGTCAGTTCTGACTCAAAAGTTCACAACATACAAAGAATTTATTTATTGGAATACAGACCTTTTCTCAAATATTTTTCACAGATTTTCATACAGTAACCTACTAGAAAAGTAGAATGATACAACACTAAAATAACATTGTTTCTTAGTACAAATCACTAATCAAAAGACAGGATGAGGTGGTTCAGGAGTGAGGGAAGGGTGTCACTGCAGCACCTGGGGGCCTTGCACTGTACCCTGAGCCAGGAGGGCTCTGCCACCTGGGCCGGGCCACCCTCGGGAGCTTTTGTACCTGCACTGACTTTCAGAGAAAGCGAAGGTTGCGAGTCCAACAGCATTTCCATCATTTCATCTTGTGCTATGAGGAGATCAGGAAAAATGGTAACTAGTTCACACTTGTGATAACTTAGATCCTTTACGTTTACCATTCAATAAAATAGCCTCCCCCAAAACACAATTCTCTAGGTCTAAAACATGCTTGAAGAAGAACATAGAAATACTTCATTGAGATATTTTAATTTACATTTGCCATAATTTAAACATTACTATTTAAATCCAGAAATTTGAGTCTTAAACACAATTGTTTGGAAAAATACAGGACAAAAAATACAGGACTGAAAGTACAGCATAAAACCCTCACCCCAGTATTGTAACTCATTTCCCTACTGGTAAAAGCATGTTTCCCAAAATTACAGGAACATGGGAAATGTTTTTCATAATATAGCTAGAACAGTGGGCTTATTTGCTACACTGTCTGGTTTCTCTAATTGGTGAAAATAGAGTTCTCATTATGACTAAAAATATAGATTTTTTTTAAACTACTAAGAACCCAGCAACTAGTTTATGCTTTGCTGTTCCCCTCCCCCCAAAAGTCAAGCAAAGTCTACAAAAATAGCAATTAAATTTTAAAAATAGTTTGCTCAGTCAGCACACTGAAGTTACATTCAGGTACAGTAGCAATGTCAGTGCTGGGGGCCTTCCCTGCCCAGCCCGGGGCAGGGCCGAGGTGGGCCATCACTTCAGTAGCGGGTTTGGTATTCATGATGCCACCGGTTGAAGTCATTGTAGAACAGGACGATGCTTCCCGAAGCCATGCCGGCAATGATGCACCTGCAAGAGGCCAGAGGGAGGGGTTTAGAGACCCACATTTCCAAGGCTCTGGTCCTGGAGGAGGAGCTCCTCCCCTGACCATGAGGACCCAGCACAGCTCTCTGGTCTGTGGTGAGGGCTTGAGCAGCCAGCTGTGCAGGGGGCGTCCCCCAGGCCCCAACACAGGACATCATCTCTGAGGCAATCTGGAGTACTCGGGCACCAAAGAAGCCACCCAAATGCTGCTAGTGATAGTGATGGGCCTAACAGGTGTGCAGCTGGTATCGAGAAGGGAGGAATGTGAGCCATCCTTTGGGCCTGGTCCTCAAACACAGGGACTCAACAGTGGTCACTAAGATGGGAGCTCCTGCCGAGGAGCAAGGACAGATGGGGAGCAGTGGTATTGGTGAAGGTGATGGAACCCAGGACCTCTGCCCTGAGCTGCATCCTCCTGCCTGTCTCCCAGAGCTGGGGTTACACACGTGCTCTGTACGTGGCCCTGGGGGCCTTTCTTGCAGCTATTCTGAGGTCCTCCTCTCAACAGTTTGGTTAGGACCAGCCCTTAGGAACTTGCAGCCAGTACCCTTCTAGCAAAATCAGGAGCTGTGTCACTGTGAAAAGTCACCACAAAAAATGCCAGGGTGGAGGATAGAAGCCAAGCGCTAAGGGATGCAAAAGTGGGTAGCAAGACTGAGTGAGTCCTTTTGTACTAAGTGCTATTTTATATGTAAAGAGTGAAGTTCCATCAAAAAATAGAGATTAGCAGAATGGATAAAAGACATCCTCAAACTGCAGACTGTCTATAAAACACTCTGTTCTGAGGTACTATAAATGGAAACACAGTGACCTTAAGTCTAATCAGATAAGAGTTTAAGTCAGAAATTGTTACAAAAGACAAAGATACGACATATACCCCAGAAAGTCAAGTCATTTGGAAAATATTCAAAGTTCCATATGTACATCAAACATCTGATTTCCATATTGCACAGAGCAAGTATTGAGAGAACTGAAGAGAGAAATAGTTTTATGATGACAGGTTGGCAACTTAACTTTCAGTAATAGGTGGAACAAGACAGCAGATAAGGAAATGGAGGACCTGGACAGTATCAGAAGCTGGCTGGACCTCACACACATCTAGAATACCCACCCATCCAGCAGTAACTAAAGGTACATTTCTCTCCAGTGTGCATGAACCACTGTAGGATAAACCACATATTAGGCTTCAAAACAAGCTTAATGATTCAGTATGACTGAAGTCATATAAAATTCTTTTGATCGTAACAGTGGAACAGAAAATCAACAGGAAAATTAGAAAATTCACAAAATTGTAGACCTTGAATATATTTGCCTTCTTTCACTATGAACAAAGTACTTGAAAAAATCAGTCCTCTATCAATCATTACTCCGTGGTCAGAAGCTCGTGGCGGAGGAGAGCGGCTCACCCCATGGCAGCCAGGAAGCGGAGTGCAGGGGAAGAGCCAGAGGAGGGCCAGCAAAGTCCCTGTTACAGCTTGGGACTAGATGTCCCCCCAAAGCCTCATGTGGGGCTTCCAGAGGTGGCTGGATCCACCGTGTGTGCTGCTGGTTTAAATGTGTGACACTGGGATCGAGGGGGTGTGATTGCTAAGTGAGTCCATGGATTGGCTTGATACACTTCTGGGTAGGATTAAGGATGGCCCAAGCTGGGTGTGAGTACTACCTGCCTAGAGGGAGTACAAGGGACAGAAAGGGCTGCTTGATACTTGCTGCTGCTTCCCTACTTTTCTGCTTTGCTGCCTTCTGCCTGCCATGAACTGTTTATCCTCTGCAATGCCCTCTGCCTTGGAGCCAGCCAACTATGAACTGGAACCTCCACAAACTGTGAGCCAAATAAACCTTTTCCCCTTTAACTTTGGGTGTAAAGTATTTTGTCTCAGCAAGGTAGAAAGTAACTAAGATAATCCTTAAGGTCTTGAACCCATGACCCAACCCAGGCACACCCAAGTGTGTGCTTCCCTGAGCTCCTGAGCAACTCAGGCCAACCAAGTTGACAATATGAACCATCATGCTGAACAACAATGGGTCAGGATAGAGGAATATTAGAAAATACCCTGAGATAAATGAAAACAGGATGTAGCAAAAGCTCTGCTAAAATGCAAATCCCTAGCTGTGGACACAGACACTAAAGGAGAAAATTTTGAGTTAATGTAACTTTGTACTACAAGGAACTAGAAAAACAGCAAACTAAAACCAAAGCTAGCAGAAATAGAAATAGAGAAATGGAATAGAGATAAAACAAAACTGATTCTTTGAAAAGCTTCAGCTGCACTAAAGTACTTCAGAAAGGGACATGAGAGAAATAATAAAACATTACTAAGGAATTAGTAGGAGCAACTACGTCACGGCACACTGGATAGCCTACATGAAATGGACCAGTTCTTAGAAATAGTATACCAGAGCTGAATCCTGAAGAAATAGAAAATCTGAATAGATACACAGAGGTTGAGTCAGTAATAAAAATCCTCCTCCTAAAGAAAAGCTTTGAGCTATCTGGCCTGTTGGTGGTTTGTACCATATACTAAAGGAGGAGTAACACCTATCCTCTTCAGACTCCTTCAGTGAGTACAGCCTGTGTCTGGTAATCAACAAAAAAAATCCTACACATTGCAAACCCTCCCTTGTGAATGTGAATTCTTTACTTGCAAAATACTAGAAAGCTGAACTCCCTAGTGTGGTAAAAGGATTGTGTATGCACCATGGCCAAGTGAGTCCCCCACAAAATTAAGGATGTTTTATGCAAAAACTATATATTAAGGATAACCAAAAAACCAAGTCATTATTGCAACTGATAAAGACACCTAAGAAAAATTTCTCTATAATCTAGGACTAGAAGGAAAATACCTCACATGATAAGGAGCATTTATGAAAAACCCACAGCTAACATCATACTCAATGGTGACTCAAGGTTTCCTCTATGATCAGGAACAAAACGAGGATGCCCACTTTTACCGCTTATATTCAGCATGGTACCTAGAGTACTACACAGAAAATTTAGCAAGAAAAAGAAAAGTATCTAAATTAGAAAGAAAATGGTCACAGATAACATGACCATATAGTCACATGACATTAGGAAATCATAAAGATTATATATACACCTCAGTCAGTAAATTTACAGATAATGCAACCAACATTAAAAATCAGTAGCATTTTATACACTAATAATGAACAATCTGAAAAGGAAATATGCAATTCCATTTACAATGGTATCAGAAAAAATAGGAATTTATCCAAGAGAAAAGCTTTCTATACTGGAAACTATGAAGCACTGCTATAATAAAGACCTAAGTAAATGGAAACATACCACACCCTCATGGATTTGAAGAGTATTGTCAAGATAGTGTAGTACTAACCCAAATGGTCTCTAGACTCACTACCACTCCTATCACAACTTCCACCACAGAACTAGAAAACCCATCCTACTTTTATATATAATCTTTAGGAATTTCAAATATCCAAAACAATCTTGAAAAAGAATTATAGTAGGAGGTCTCACATTTTCTGACTGTAAAATTATAGAACTACAGTAATCAAAATGGTCACATGGGCAAAGAGACAGACCAACAAAATAAAGCATTTAAAAGGAGGCTCACAGGACCGGGATTTAGCTCAGTGGCATAAGTGCCTGCCTTGTAAGCGTGTGGTTGTTTGATCCCCAGTACTAAAAAATAAATAAAAAAGTAAGCTCACAAGTGTAAGCGCATCTAACTTTCCATAGGGTATCAAGATCATCAATGGAGAAAACAGTTTTTTTCATGTAGGGTGGGGAAAAGTGGGTATCTACACAGGAAACTATGAATTTGAACCTTACCTAATATTATGTACAAAAATTAGAAGAAAAGCTTTATGACCTTGGATTTTGCAGTAATGTCTTAGATATGACATAAAACACAACAAAAAAATTAGGTTTCACAAAGACTGCCTATGCATTAAAGAACAGCGAGAAGAATGAGAGACTCTTTAGTCCTCAGGAGAATGCACGTGGAACCATAAAGAAACCACTTCAGATCCACACGGGGGGCCACTGTCTATACTTGGAGCAGGAGGCGTTCACGCAGTGGGGAGAGTGGGGAGCTCAGGACGTTGCATGCTGCTGTTGGGGTGTAAAATGGTGCAGCCACTGGGGAAAAGGCCTCCTCGGGACACACTGTTCCTGTGTGACCTAGTGGTTCCACTGCTGCACACACACCCAAAACTCTAAGAGGTCCCACACGGGTGTCTGCTGGTCAGTGCTCATAGCACATTACTCATAGCAAAGTGGAAACAACTCAGGTGCCAAAGAGGAATAAAAACGTGGCACATCCGAAGAACAGAATTTGAGCCTTGGAAAGGAGCGTGGTCCTGACTCACCCACACAGCACTCTGAGAACGTGCTAGAGGCGAGGCTGGCAATGAGCACTGTGTAAACTCCCCTACACCAGGGCCTGCAGGGTGACGTCTTGGTGAGGGGGAAGGCGAGTGGGAGACTGGTGGTTTCTACGAGGCCCTACCCCACCCCGAGTGTGCACCCCACACTGAACACCACGAGCAGCTTGTGGATGCACTTTATACGATGTTGCCATGATAAAGACAAGGACTGCACATTAAAAGGAAGTAAGGTGCTAGATAAAAATGATCCTCCCCAAACTCACCTCCTGGGGAGTTTGAGGACTTAAGTCAGAGCCTCAGTGGAATTCCCAGGGACAAAAGTAAAGGTTTTCTTCCTTTTCTCATATATACAGCTCTCCCAAGTTAATTTATGAAGTTATGAAGTTTGTTTAAAAACACAGCTTCCTGGTGAAGTGACTGAGGCCCTCCCTACTTAGCACATCCTGCCAGGGTCTGGGGCAGCCTCTGTAAGGCAGCCCATGCTGCAGCCAGGCGCACTTGGAGGCCAGTTCTGCCCTGGCCACCCCAGGCCCTGCCTCCCGCCAGGGAGGAGTTGCTTCCCATCTGACCACCGCCATTGTTGGGAGACCTCGGCTCCGGCCTTACCTCTGGTCATAGGAGAGGGCCATAGCCCGGATTCCTGCGTCACAGCCTGGGTAGGCAAAGAGCTGCCTGAGGTCAGACACCTGCCACACCCTCACCACACCGCTGTCTCCTCCTGTGAGCAGGTACTGCCCATCCCGGCTCAGCTGCATGGCCTGTGGGACACAGCGAGGCAGAGTCAGAGGTGCAGTTGGGGAAAAGGGCCTCAGAAGAGAAGGTCAGGCAGGGGTGGGGGGGATTCTGCCACTGCTGTGCCGAGGAGGGGAGTGACCTAACCTAGCGCGCTCAGGAAATGGACTGCCGACGACCTGCCACTCATCAGGAACCAACTAGACAAGGTCAGGCAATGCCAGTGCTTTTGTTTGGTTCTACTCAGTGTCCGCTTTGCAGGAGGGAACGGGGGAAGCTCTGGTGCCCATGAATGCTGGCTGGAAGTGCCCTGCATGTGCATCCCACCTCTGTGCCAGGGAGGAGGCACAGTATGGATGCAGCATCCACCTGCCCACAGCCCGGCTGCAGGGAGGCTCTGTCCTGCAGCGCCAGGCAGTGGGCACCTCACTCCCTCCCTCAGAGCAGACCATACGGACTGAAACTTGACCCTGTGAAACAGGTGCTCTCAGATGCGAGCCTGTGGCACTAATGCAGAGCATTGCTCTCCTGGTTTCCTGCCTGGTTTTACATCTTTTAGTGCTTGGGGAAAATAATTTCTCATGACACAATGGTACTGTGGGTTTCAAATCTGAATGCCCAGAAATGAGGTATCGGGGTCCAGCTGCTAGCACACACCTATGGCTGCCTTCACAGGGGGATGCTGAGCCCGAGACCTGGCCACTGCTTCCACCGCTCCTCCCTCCCTAATTCCACAAGACACCCTTCCTGGGATCCTGGGGTGGCACAGGGCCTGCCTGTCCTGCCTGTCTGCCTGTCTGTCCTGTGGCCAGGGAGATCCAGGCTGTGCGAGCAGCTGGAAACAACATGCTCTGATTTCTGAACTCTATTTGCACTGTTATGCACTCAAAAGGTTTAGTGTAGCTGTAAGTCTTTTAATTTCTACTTTAACCATTTTTCAAAAAAAATTATAGTAAAGTGGGTGCTGTTTCATACCCATTCAATTCATAGAAACTTTAGTAGTCTCTCAAGTGCACAAAATACAAAAACAATAAATACATCTAAGAAATAACCCACATGTGGGAGACAATTGTGAGATGTATTCTCTAAGTCTTTTTAATATGAGCAAAAATGAGCATCTTTCTCCCATTCGTCTCACATGCAGCAAACTCTGAGGGTATCTGGGAAGTGCAATGAAGACTGCACAGTAATTATTTACTACACTTAATTCACTGATAAAAATCCATTAACCTCATGGTTGCGGTTTGCTAGAATTTTATACTTGAGGGTTTTTACTGGATAAGCGCTATATTAAAACAAATTAAAACCATTAATCTTTAAGTCTTTGTTCTAGTAAAGAATCTCTAGCCCTACTTCTGTCTGGAATGAAAAAAAACCTGGACTTTTAGGACTGCATTCAAAATGAACCAGGTACTTTCTGAGGTAGAAAACACTTCTGCTGGCCTCTCCAGATCCTGGGGGCTTCCTCTGGCTGCCACAGCCCAGGTGACGGCCACCTGCAGGCGTCTTAATGCTGAGGCTGGACACGTGACTGCCTGGGTTGCTAGGAGGGACTGCAGGCCAGGCCAGTGCAGTCTGCTGGGGACCACCACACCCTAAGACAGCTCCAGGAAGAGAAATGGGCCCAAGCAGTGAAACAGTGGTGATGCTTTGTTGATGGGGAAATAACTTCACTGCCTGACGGGCTCCCTGCATAAGTCTGAGCTGTTCATTAAGACGTCTAAACCTTGTCTCACTGATGTACTGGATACGC